CGTGCCTCGGACATCGAATTATGTCGCTATTGATGCATGGATGCCGCAGTTCGGTGGATTCCAAGTCACTGTGGGAAAGACTCATGATATCAAGGCCGGCGCGGCAGATGATTTGGCGAAGTTGGGTCCGGATGGCAACCAACTCTTCTTTTTGCTTCCACCGCTGTACTACAAGTCTTTCACCAAGAAAGGCAAGGAGATTCGGCAGTTTGCAATTCTTGTTCCGTATCCCGAAGAGATTTAATGGCGCCGTACAAACGCGGTGAGTGCGAAATGGGAGGAGAGAAAACTGTGGTGCTAAGACAAGCTTGAAACTCGTGAGTAATTCGAGAAATCAACATATTACGTCTTCAATACTGCCATATCGGCGACCACTACCGACAGCTACTGCTACCATCACTTCAGCGGCGGATATACACTTTTTCCGACATCTTGTCTTCTGGCTGTCTTCCTCGCGTGCACTGACTTGAATCGCTTCGTCAGATACTGAATGCTACTTGTGCTTAGTGGCGCTTGAGCATCCTGTCCGTCTCGTTGGCTGCGGGCGACTCGCAGTTCGGGGGACTGTCGAGCCACTTGCGCTTCCGCCGCGGCCTCTACTCTGGTCCAATCGGCACCTGCTTGTCGTCGCTCTATGTTACATGATGATGCTCTGTGTTAGGACTTCTGGTGTCATGAGTGCCGCGCCGCGGTCACCGATGTCATCTCTCCAACTCATCGTGCAGCAGCGTTTGGAGTTCTGGCCGCTAGCGTAGCGATTGGGTATTGCGCAAGCGCATTTATCGCCCCGTTCTTCTCTCGCTCGAGTGAGTGCTTCCCACTCGCTTCATAACATTCCGATACCTGATAAACTGATATTCGTGCTATATCTTTCGAACCAGGAACATATTTTGCAGATTGCTGTTGCTCTGTTCGCGATGCGCGTTTTCTGGGCGCTGCTGATCCTGCCCGAAACCTTATGGGTTGCGGCGAGTCCGATCCGCTCATTCTCGATCCTTTTCCGGAACAAGTTGTTCATACTCTGATCGCGTTAACGAGCTTCGTTTCCGAAGGAATTTTCCAGATGCAGCCATTTTACCTCAATGTAAGTCCTTTCAACAGTATGCATAGTCCGACTTTCTGTGTCATCCAACTGAGTGATTCTGTACTGCTCTGCAGACTGTTGTGGGGTACGACGTGAATGATTTTGGCAATCTGATGCTGGTTGGAGGCGTTCTAGTCATGCTCGGACAAGCTTGAACAGGTTCACTCTAGTGAGTTTCATGGGAGAAAGAGGCATGATCATCACAGGTTTAGTGAGCTGCTTAGTGAGGACGTGCGGGATTGCGGGGACGGGAGTGTTGGGTGGTGTTCTTTCTGTGTATACCTTCTTGTTTCGGCGAGTTGGCCTTCCTAGCCATTTCTGCGCTGGAATCAATTAACTGTTCGGAAGAGGTACGCTGCACTTCTCCTTGTGAAGTCATTCATTATCTAACTATCTAGGTTTGCTACAGGAGCAAGGTCGCCTGCAAGGCGCGATCTACGGAGCTCGATCGGTTTTCGAAGCGATTGGACCCGTCGTTTTCCCCGTCTTGTACGCTGCTATGACTCGAAAGTCAGTTTGGTCGCCAGCGCTCCCGTTTGTGATCGCTTCGTGCATTTATCTCGTCGGTGTTGTTATTGCCGTGTCGCTACCCGCCGGCAAGAAATCGAGCAAGCCTGTGGACGAGGAAGCTCATTTACTGTCACCAAGGGGGGAACCAGCACCCTCACACTTTAAGACCGAGCCCGAAACTGAGGATGAAATTGGAGGTGACGATGCCATGGCTGTTGCTGGCAGAACGGTGCTACACGTAGATGACGACTACCGTACCTCACAGAAAGAACGGTTAACAGTTAGATTACCATTTCAAGACCTGGGGCAATCTTTTTGAAATTGAAATGTAATTTTAGCCAATCAAAACGCATATAACTGCTAATATTAACAGGAAGAAAGCATTTTCGAAGGAAATGAGAGCTTTTTAACGGTAATTTGAGTGCCAAATGAGAAAGACCAAAAGTAATCTTTGTGTGAGGTACGGTACTTGCTTGCAGAGCCGCAGCTAGCCTCACAAGGCACGCTTTTTTCTGTAAAGCTAAGAAATATATTCCAGATTTCAATGCACTTCTAGCACTTCAACGCATCGGATCATATTTTTCCGATGGGGTTCAGACTAGAAGGGCGACCCTCAGTCAAAATGCAGCACCTCGAAGAGCATCTCGTCCACCCACAGGGAAGAGCCACGGCGCCACTGTTGCCGCCACGTCGCCCTGCAAGCCGCAGCGGAAGCGGGGCTTCTCGTGCAAGTTCGGCACCATCGTGGTGCTGCAGTTCCTGACGGAGGCGGCGTTCAGCATCATGAACCCCATCCTCTCCATCGTCATGACGGAGGTCTGCAAATGAGCAAAAATGTGTCAGTCCCACCGACAATCCTCACTCTATCCATTAATTGTATGCAGTATTTCGCCAGGCAGCATCGACATGGACTGCCAATTGACTGTGGAGCCAACCCACTCGACGCGGTACAGTCATCATGGTTAAGTACAAATGGCATGAATCATTTCGTGCTAATAATTGTTGCAATTGTTGCTAAAAAGGCGTGCACTGAAGGGTCAAGACAAGCGGCTTGGTTGTCGAGGAATGAATCAATACTATTGGTTTTGGAGTCGGTGAAGAATGTGGGGTGAACTTGACGCTATTGTTTGTGTCAGCCTCTTCTCGTCGCTAGGCTGTGTATTCATTTTTTTCCTGGCACCGATGCTAGGTCAAGCGTCAGACGTCTACGGACGCAAGGTTCGTCAGTTTGTGGGTCATTGGGAAATAATTTTGTGGCTTAGTAAATGTGAATGTATGTTTGTTATTGCTATTAGCCGTTTTTGGTGCTAAACCAGCTCGCAAGGGTTGGTACGCCATTCTCCATCATGTATTTCATGCAGCCACACGGATCCATCACGCCGTACTTTGTACTAGGCTAATCGACTATGGGTTTGGGTACGTATCTCGGTTTCCCCTATGTACTAACAGCCATATTGATCTTGACCCAGAACTGCTGGAGTTATGGGCGCTGCGGTCGCGACATTGTGTCCCCCGAGAACCGCGCAGCAGCATTTGGCATTCTTTTTGCGAGCTTGTCTTCAGGGTTTTCTTTTGAGTGCTTTCGCAGCCCCATTCTTCTCTCGAGTTCGTACTTGCTGCTCGGTTTATGACTGTATTGCTGACTGTTCGTTTCTAACGCGGATGATTTTTATTTATGTAGGAGCAAGTTCTGCAGATTGCCGCTTGTATTTTCGTGATCCGGGTGTTTTGGGCAGTATGCATTCTGCCCGAAACGGTACCGAAGCATTCGCGTATGACCAAGACGCATTGGGTGATGGAGAGTCCTATCAGCTCTCTGTCCATCCTTTTCCGCAATAAATTGTTCATGCGGCTGACGTGCTTGATCGTGATCACGAGTTTCATCAGGAACGGGATTTTCCAGATCCAGTCCTTTTTCCTGAATGTACGTCCCCAACAATATAAACGCAATTGCGAGCTGGTCTAACGCAGCCCATGATGGTGGATTTCAGACAATTGTGGGATTCGATGTGAAAGACTTTGCCAACTTGATGCTACTCGGAGGCGTCTTAGCACTGCTAGGACAGGGGCTACTGGTGAAGGCGCTGGTGGGCTGCTTCAAGGAGAAAGGCGTGATCATCATCGCGCTGATCGCCAGTCTGATGAAGACGGGCGGCTTTGCCGGTGCCGCGTTTTACCCGCACAAATGGGTCGTATTCCTGTCGTTCATCCCTGGTTGCATCGGAGACCTCACCTTCCCCGCCATATCGGCTCTCAAGTCAATGAACGTCTCGGAGAAGGTATGTTTTAGCATCTATTCACCTGAACAAGCTAAAACATTGACGGGGTTATCATAATTTGACTCTGAATCTGCAGGAACAAGGACGTCTTCAAGGCGCAATCTATGGCGCTCAATCAGTTTTTGACGCAATCGGCCCCATCGTCTTCTCCTCGCTGTACGCTGCGATGACCCGGCAGTCCCTTCTGTCCGAAGCTCTCCCGTACATCGTTGCCTCGTGCGTCTACGTCGTCGGGATCGCAGTGGCTGTCTCGCTACCCGTGAGCAAGACGCCCCCGTCGCGGAGTGAAGTCGCTGTTGAACCTGCTCCTTTGCCGCCACCCGTGTCGGACGAAACTCCGGCTTTGGCTTCCGTGTACTTCGAGACTGACAAGGATGAAGTGGAAAAGGGCGACAGAGTGGAGTATGCCACTAGCTCCGTGCTGGATGACGACCAATTGCTCTCTGAGCCTTCGCTAGGAGCGAACTCCTCTGAAGTGTAAAAGTGCACATTAGATGCATATCGATACTAAAACACACGATAGAGCTACGTTTAAAACCCCTTTTGTCATCTTCAACTTTTTTCTGGTCGTAGTGATCGGTTTTCACAGGTTTTGGTATCACGTTTTCATTCCCAGTGAAGTATCCGACCGAGATGGACAGCACCACCGCCGCCGCTGACACCTCCGCGCCCCGCATGCCGCAGCGTAAGCGTGGTGCCCCGTGCACTGTGGCCGCGATCGTGGGTCTCCAGCTTCTCACCGCCGGTGCATTTGGCATCATGAGCCCCATCCTGTCAATCCTCACCTCATGACGGAGGTCTCTCCTGCAGCATTCTCCAATGCGCTGTAGCGCCGTAAAATATCTCTTAACTGAATGCACTGTAGTACTTTGCCAGACTACACAGAGATGGAGCGCCCATTGACTGTGGTGCCAATCCTCACGACGAGGTATTGTTGTTGTTGTTAAAGGAAATATTCACAATTGTTGGCCCTTGAACTAGGGCTCCGCGAAGGCTGGGATAGGAGAATTTTGGTATAAACCTGTCGTTTTTTAATTTTTTTTAATTATTTTTCTTACTAGCTACGGTCATCTCCTGCGCCTGCTTCGCAGCCGCAGCATCTGTCCGGATTTTTTCTTAAAAGCTGTAGATGCAAGGTATCAACCGGCAATGCTTTACGAAATTAAAAATGCAAACCTTGGTTGAGATCTGTTTTGCAGCTTGTAGAAAATGCAAACTAGTGCTATTGTACAGTCCAAGCGTTCTCTTTACTTCACTTTGTCCATCCGTACCCTGCTCAATATATGCACTGGTTCATACCGGTGTCGTCGGTAGCACACCGGTTCAATCTGCCCACGCATATAAACCTTTTGGAGGGCCCAGTGCGGCACCAGAGCCGTACCGGTTTCAAGAAATATACCAGTTAGATGTCAAGAGGGGTCATCGTTTGACTTGACGTACCACGGATATAATCCTATTTGGTCTGCGATAGCAGCACTAACGTTGCTTCCTATCCCAGTAATATAAATATCATTTATGAGAACGAAGTATTACCGATGTATTTACAATATTAATCCTCTGACCGGGGAGATATTCCCAGTATTACAATACTGGGAATATTAAAATATCACCGATTTCGGGGTTAAAAGGCCCGGGGGGCCCTTCAACTTCAAAAGTCGTGATATGAAAGAGCCCCGAATCGGGCTCCCCTCGCATAGGTACGACAACGAGGAGCCCGCCTTCCTGCAGGGCTCCCCGCTTGGGCTCTTCGATGCTGTCGTTGTAGTTTGGCGGGCTCTTGACGCGCTGTCCTGATTAGTTTACGCTATCTAGGTTTATTCCTTGGGACCCGGTTGAGCTAGATCCTGGAAAATCCTCCAGAAGATCGCGATCCTCGATGCCCTTCGCGCTCGAGCGTAGCTGCGCCATGCTCATGTGACCTGCACTGAAGAGATAGGAGCGAAGAACGTGGCGGCGACAATGTACAGCATGCTTCCTAAAGTCGAAGTTTGGACCTGAAGACCGCACACTACAGCCAATCGGTAGTAAGATATATTACTGGGATAGGAAGCAACGTTAGTGCTGCTATCGCAGACCAAATAGGATTATATCGTGGTACGTCAAGTCAAAATATTGACACCCAACTGGCACATTTCCAGAAACCGGTATGACCCCGGTGCCGCACTGGGCCCTCCAAAAGATTTATATGCGTGGACAGTTTGAAACGGTATGGGTCAGTAGCATATACTGAACCGGATGGAGTGATGTAAGGTGAATGATTGAATTGAACGGACTACTACAGGACTGTAGCATATTTCTCTACGAGCTAGATCTCGAGCGAGGTTCGTTTCATTACTGTGTATAATTACTGCCTAGTCGTATCTTGCATCTTCGCCGTTGAGGTGAATGACCGGGCAGATGCTGCGGCTGTGAAGCAGGCGCAGGAGATGACTGTGGATCGTAAAAAAAAGTAATAAAGGAGTTATCCCAAAAGCCTCCTATCCCAGCCTTCGCGGAGCCCTAGTTAACCTGTAGGGGGGGGCTCTTAACGAGGGCTCTCACAGTTTTGAAGGGCTCCTTTCACTTAACCTATTTAACACACGAGCCCAGAACTTTTTGATTGGCCAAAATTTAGCTCCAAGTTCAGCTGCAAAAGAACTTTGAAAACACGGCTGCTGCTACCTTGAAGTTGGGGACAAAAATAGGACGAAACGACGCAGTGCACGTTATTGTAATCGCCTCAAGGTCAAGGTCCAGACTCTTGGAGGAATAGGATAGCTCTGGTAGGAATAAAAGGATGGAGACAGGACGAGGCACTTCGAGCCCCTCCTCTGCTGACTCGAGTGCTCTGCCGCCTATCTCTGCTGCTCCTCCAGCGCGTCTCCCTTCAGCCAAATCCCACCGACCTCCCAGCAAGCAGTGCCTTCGAGGTGGCAGCATGAACTCTTCAAGGCCAAGCAGTCCGCCAGCGAGTGTTGAAGACGAATTATTGCCCGAAAGCGACGCAGTGCAGACGGAGACTGTGATAGAGCCAACTGGCAATGGAGACGCGCTGTCCGTCTCCCAGCAGGAGAAGATGCAGGTCTTCGCGACGTCTCCCGACCTCGAATTGCTCTGCAGGGAGAACGGTATCACAGCCGCTCAATTTGCGCGGAATAGCGAGGCAGTGACGAGTTTGGACTTGTTTCTGGGCTTTTGGACGTCCATGAGGAGCGTCGCGTACTTCCCAGCGCTGAGGGAGCTCTCGGTCATCAACCAGCCGACGATCTGCGAACTCGATGGCGTCAGCAACTGCATCAACCTGGAGAAATTGTGCATTACCGAGTGTGGGCTCACAAAGATCGCTAACCTGGGGAACTGTACCAAGCTGAAACAGCTAAATCTGAGCTCGAACAAGATCCGACGACTTGAAAACTTGGACGCGCTGGTGAAGTTGGAGAAGTTGTGGGTGAACCAGAACCAATTGGAAAGACTTGACGGACTCTGGAGACTCACGATGTTGACGCAGCTCTGGGCGTGTCGTAACCGTATTGACCGCATTGACACGGCGCTCAATGGCTGCGTGAATCTCACAGAACTGAACTTGGCGGACAACCGGCTGTCGAGCTTTAAAGGACTGTTGTCCCTCATGAACTTGGACCAACTTGCTGTTCTTGTATTGAGTGACCCTCATTTCGGCGACAATCCCGTGTGTAGACTGTGTAATTACCAGACATATTTGATGTGTCAACTTCCCCGTTTGAGTTTCCTGGATACCGTCGAGCTGTCTGCGCGCAACAAACACATAGCGGAGGCCACTATGATCAAGAAGAAAATGTACTATAACATGCGGATTAAGGCGATAAAGCGCGATGTGCACGGAAGGATTCGCCATGCCGAGACGATCCGCAACCAGGCTGAGCATCACATGGAAACGAGCGTGTCGGCTCTGGTGCGACATAAGAAGGAAATTGAGAGGTTTTTGGTCGAGAACAGCGCTAGAAAGGATGAAATTACTGCAAAAGTGTCCCAAGATATGATCACTGCGTTGGAGAAGAAGCTGGAGTGTGTGAGCTCGTGTCTGCAAGACCGCTACAGCGCAGTGTATCGCATGAATCAAGACTTTGAGCGCTTAAGGACAAGTTTGAGGTGTACTTCCGAGATGAACATTGCGCGTCTAATGCTGGAGCTGGAGACCGGCGGCAACATTCGACTCGAGGACGGTAAACCGTCGGATGCGTGGTTCGGATCTTGTGTCGAGCTCGTGCGATCGCGAATATTCCTACCAGAGCTGCAGAAACTTGGGATAAACGACATCCAAATCAATCGAGTCACGAGGATAAACAACAGATTTTTACGGAATAGATTCCAGGCAAGAATGGAGGAGGTTCTCATTGCTCCAGACAGAAAGGTCAAGGATAACGTATCGAAAAAGGGGGTGACAGTACCGAACGAAGATGTTGACGTTGAACGAGAGAGCGTAAAATCAAGAGAACGCAACGTCGGAACACCGCAAGAGCCAGGTAAACGTGGTAACCAGCCGCAGAATCCGTGTCCCGGTTCAACACTGGAAACATCGATGGAATATCTGTTTTACGCTCAGTCCCCACTGCTAGAAGATCATCAGTTGCGTAGTCCTGCCGACACCGAGCAACTATTTATCGCAGAGAACGGCTTCCGTGGATTTTCAGGACTTGGAACGACGGACTTTGGTGCCGCCATTAAACTCTCCAACTCAATTGCCCTGCTAGACGCGCCACGTGTTACGGCAGCGCTTGTCGCTAAAGGACAACAAGCTGTGTCGAGCGTGGATACCGCACCTTCTCAGCAAAAAATGAACCAGGACATGAAGCGAGCGGTGCAACTTGCAGTGTCCGGTGACTGGGATTTACCCTGTGGCGTGTTACTCGTAGCGAAAGTTTTTCCCGGGTACACAAAATGTATCAGCAATGCTGACGTTGCACTTGCAAAGGCTACGGCTGGTTCTACGTTGGGGAAGGCTCAAGATTTCACGGGGGTTCAGAGCTTGCAGGTGATGCATGGAGGTGCTGCGACTACAACCGCAGGTGGAGAAGCTGCCACCAACAAGCAAAAGTTGTACTATGTGTTTGACAGTGCGCTGGTTTTACCGGAATATTTCGTGGAGTATCAGTATGCGTTTGAGAGTGATCTCGTTGGTTCGTCTCGTGTTAGCAGTGCCTCACAAGGCTCTACGCGATCGCTAAAATCTCCTCGTACTGTGCACAGCAATGAAGAAGACGCGGTCAACCTCGGAGTTGCAGCCAAACTGGTGGATGATTTCGAACGCAAGTACCGTATCCGGCGCTCACAAAGCCCTCAACCCGCTGAGAACAGCGCATATTCGAGTACTGATGAAAGCGTGATGCGCTTACTTCAAATGGAGCCATTGGTGCCTGGATCAATTGCATCGAAGGACTCGCCAATCGTATCAACACGACTACAAGTGACTGCAGCAAGTCGCATTAAGTATTTGAGCTTACTGGGGTGCGAGCTCGAGACAATACCAGATATGTCACCTCTGAAAGATCATCTGGAAGTGCTGGTGCTAAGTTACAATAAGATCCAAGGCATCTGCAATAACCTCGAGAGTCTTTCAACTCTGCGAGTTCTCGACTTGTCCTACAACCACATTGCACGTATTGGCCACCTCGAACATCTCTACAGCTTGACGACGTTGGAAATCACGCACAATTTAATCCGATCTTTCGATGACGTGGAGTGTATCGGGAAAGCTTTGGGAAAGCGGTCACTCAAGCGGCTTGACCTCCGAAAGAACAGCATTTGTGACTCCAAACGATACAGATTTCATGTGCTGCAGTATTTACCAGATCTCGCGCAACTTGATCAACAAACTGTGCTACAAGAAGAGATCACCATTGCTCAACGGTTGATCACCCAGCTATCCCCCTCAAAAGTGTGGGCTCTTCATTGCCAGAAGACTCGGTGCACTGTCCCGCTGTCTTCAACTGAAGCTGTCGACCTTCCGCCATCGGATCGCCACCCCGAGTCTGACGACGAAGTCGACTCCAATTCGACCAAAGCTGAGTGGAGCTCAGTGGAGGAGCTTGTCTTGAATCACGAGTTGCTTGGGTCAATAGAAGGACTGAGTAAGGCTGTGAATCTGCGGATAGCATCGTTCTCGGACAACGCCATCAAACGGATAGGTGGTTTGCAAGCGTGCACGAGGCTGGAAGAGTTATGCTTGGACGACAACGAGATCACTCAGATCGAGAACCTGGAGCAGCTCTCCTTTCTCAAGAAGCTGCACCTTGGTCGGAATCGCTTGACTGTTATTCAGCACTTGGACTCGCTGGAGAATCTCATCCAACTCTCGCTAGAAGAAAACCAAATCTCCAGCTTGAGAGGTCTGGGTTCAGCGCTGAAGCTCATGGAACTTTACTTGGGGAACAACCAGATTGAGAACTTGAAAGAGGTCCAGCATCTAAAGTCGCTACCGAAGCTGACCATCCTCGATCTGTCAGGTAACGAGATCACGCGACTTCCTGACTATCGTTTGTACACTGTCTACTACCTCCGACGAGTTAAGGTTTTGGACGGAGTAAGTGTCTCGACGCAAGACCAGAGCAACGCGAAGCAGAAATACAGCGGGAAATTAACGTTTGAGTTCATCCTGGAGAAATGTGGCGGAGGTAACGCTACGCCGAGTGGATCTGGAGCGGAAAATCAGTTTGGTCGGATTACCGACATGGATTTATCTTCGTGCCGCATCCGCGAGATCGGATCAATCCCAGGAGATGTCTTCTCGAATGTCCGTGAGATTAATCTCGAGAACAATCAGATCATCGACATCTCTGGCCTCGAGGCGCTGCCAAAGCTCCGTGTGCTGAATCTCAATCGCAATCGAATTGAGAAGCTCATGCCTTCCAGTCAGTCGAATGATTACACGCTGCCGGATACTTGTGACGGCGGAGGAAAGGGAATCCTGGCGTGCCTAAATCTCGAGCAATTGCATCTGGCCTACAATCAAATCACCGACATGACGACGCTAGGACTTCAGTTCTTGGATTCCCTAAAGGTAATAGGCGGATGTGTATGTGTAGTTAATCCTACACTGGCTAAGTGTTTGTTGCTGAATGGTGCAGGTTCTTCACCTTCAGGGAAACGCAATCGTGTTCTTAGCTGGGTTAGAATGCAATACTGAGCTCGTCGACATTCGTCTGGACAAGAACCGCATTCGACAGCTTGACCCGCACTCGACCCTCGCTCTGCGGCAGCTGAAGTTCCTGAACCTTGAAGACAACGGCTTGAAATCGCTCTCCAATTTCAACAACATGCTCAGTCTGGAGGTTGGTGCTTGAGAAAATTACGGCAGAATCTGAGTTATGGCTTACAACTTCCTTGCTGTTGCTTGTAGACACTTGAACTATGCAACAATCGACTCACAGGTTTGGAGGAGGTGGAAAAGCTGGCGTCATTGCCCTCAATCGTCGACTTACGCCTCAACAACAACCCCCTAACCAAGAAGCATCTCTATCGACAGCACGTGCTGTACAAGCTCAACTCGCTCAAGGTTCTAGACGGCAAGGACGTTTACAGCGACGAGAAAGAACGCATCGATATCCTTTTCCTCCACGAACGTGCTGCCGCTGCCGCTTCTGGAACAATTTCAAATGCCCCTGAAAGAGTCATAGAAAACAGAGCTGTGTACCAGACTCAGCTGATCTTGACGCCATCGAGTATCCCGACCAAGGGTTCATCATCTGTGGGGATCTCCCAACCTCTGGGTATCCCACACAACGAGGTACTGTCCGGTTCTTTGCTTCGAAAGACACCGACAGCTCCCCTTCAAGTACCGACACCGCCGCCAATCTTGTCTCCACCGACTTTTCCTCTGCCCGAACACGAAGTGGATCTCTCGATTGCTATCGCTCCATCCAACACAACCACTCGGTCGCTGTTGGCACCCACACACAATTCCTACCGCAATCTCACCTCGTTAGGAAGTCAGTCCAGTTGGCAGGTCGGCACGACGGGTGGGAATACATCTTCATCCACTGCAACAGTTGCGTCAGCTATCAGCGCCAATCTCGCCAAAGGCATCGGCACTTCTGGAGTGGAGCAGCTATACGTGGGCAGTAGTTTACGCAGACGACTGTCGAGCGTGCACTACGACCAGCAGCAGATTCGTGAGTTTATGGCGAACATCCAGCACTATTTTGCTGTAAGAATGACTAACCACTCTGCTTATTGCTAGCCTCACCTTCATTGCAGGTGAACGGAAGTTTCAACGGACCGGACACCAAGCTTCCTGTTGGTATCATTTCATCGCAAGCAGTGGTCCGAGGTCCGTCTGCAGCGATAAGAAGGGGTAAGTTGTCGTTTTGCTCCTTGATTTACGATGTTGCTTCGCATTGAGCTAAATGTTTGTATTTCTTCTTACAGCAGGCTTCAACATGCAACCAACATCGACCGAGCCGCAATCCAAAGCAGGAACTCAAGTGTCATCAGATCATGTGTTCCCCTCCAGCACAATCCCCTCTGCCAACGACGGCAACAACAGTGGCAGGAGTTTTGCGGGTTATGTGGTGACCTACGGCAACCAAAAGCGGTACTCGAACTACCCAGGCGTACAACAGGAAACCACCATCCCGTACCTGTCCACAAAGCTGCAGCAGCAAACTCGGAGAAGCAGCGATAGACGATGAACCGAATATCAAACGCGAATGTAAACTAGAGAATTGTAGATGTTCAAGTAAACTCTATTCATCATTACCACTAAAATATCTACGCTTGCCTGTTTGCCTTCAGTAGGATCAATTGGAATTATAAAAGATTTTCATCAACCTTGATCAGGAGAGAACTGGTCATCATCGGCAAACAGACAAGCTGCACAACATACACACCATCTACAACATGCAAAGGGCCCAAGTACTACCTTCAAGCTGGATCGAGGGCAGCAAGAGGGGCTTCTTGGAAGGCACAGGACGGGATGCCTCAGACTGACGTGCAAATATCAGAGAGATTGTTGTCCACCATCGAATCGTTGGTACTTGCGAGTTTGCTTCATCGGCCTCCGTCCGTCCTTCCTTCCAGCACCCGTTGCCGCCCTCCCTCGAGTCCAGCTTGGCCATATCCACAGTTAAACAGACAAGACAGACGTAAACTCACAGCAGCACAGCAGGGTCTTCCGGGAAGGCTGTCCCAAGTCAGAAGAGTGTATTACAATGGCTCAACCCCAAAAGGGAGCGGCATGTAGACACAAGATCGATAGATATGATATCCACCTGCGCGTCACTGCACCTCGGTCACACCGCTTACTTGAGCGGGATGAAACGGGCAGCGCTCGTGGCGCCGATACCGGGGCGACCGTGGGTCACCGGCTTGTACGTGATGGCGAACTCACCAAGGTAGTGGCCGATCATCTCGGGCTGTCAGAAGTCACAACGCACACAGAGGCGTCAGTCCGTCACACCCCACAACCGTCATATCATATGATTATGACAAAAAGCTCCCTGGGTCGCCCCATACACAGAACGTCGTTAAAGGGGGTGGCAGCCGGGTGCATCCCAAAAAAGTCATATCGTGATATAACAAAATAGGATAACACCGCTCTTCGGGTCATAAGCCACGCACCCCCCCGAGAGCCGCGAGCGGTTCTGGAGACATACCTTGATCTCAATGCCGTTAAACTCCTTGCCGTTATACACGCCGACCACCGAGCCGATCATCTCGGGCACGATGATCATGTTACGCAGGTGGGTCTTGATGCCCTCGGGGCGCTCCATGGGCTTGGCAGCGGCCTTGGCCTTGCGCAGGCGCTTGATCAGGGCCATCGGCTTGCGCTTGAGGCCGCGCGAGAAGCGACGGCGGGCGCGGGCGTTCACCAGGTCCATCAGCTCCTCATGGTTCAGGTCCAAGAGCTTGTCCAGGTCCACGCCACGGTAGCTGAACTTGCGGAACGTGCGCTTCTTGCGCAGCGCAGCGAGCTCCAGGTTCTTGTCCTCCACGGATTGGTCAGCCATTGTTTCCAGTAATACGCGTCTCCGGAGTGCCCCAAGCGCAGAGCAGCCCCAGCCACCAGCGCCAATCGACTGGCTGGCAGCTTTTTACGTAAAAAGGAGAGCGTAATTACGTGTCTGAATTTATGACAAAAATTCCTTTAAGAATTGAAATCATTTGACTCGGACAATAATTGTTGGTGGCTACTTTGGTGTGCACCAGGTGTGTACAGGCCAATTGACCGGTTGGCTCGACGAGGTGATGGCGTATGTGGACTTGAATGTGCGCGCCACGGCGCGGGTGTCGGCGGGCGAGCTGCAGCGCTGTACGTTGCGATGATGCAATGGAGTTGATGCTGCAGAAAAATTGCGGACTGATTGTGGCCGCTGCATTTGCTGCCGACAGTGGGCTACGCGACTGTGTGCGTCAATGTGGACTGCGAAGGCAGCGAGAAGCCCAAGCCGGCGACGGCGCTGCCGGATCTGCCGCAGTCTGCGCAGAAGGACAAAGGTGGCAGGAGCGCCAAGAAGGCCAAGTTCTACACGGCTGCGCTCGGCAACGGACTGCAGCTGAAGGGCGACGCGGACGCGGCCGGGAAGAAGGAGCTGCCGAAGCAGCGCAAGCGCATCACGCTCAAGCTGGAGGAAGTTGCGGATGCACAGAAGCTGGTGAGCATTGAAATAACTGAAGCGGTGCCAAGCGTTGCTCGTGTACTCACTTTGCTGCGCATTCAACAGTTGGGATCGGATGTGGTCCAAGGATACGACGTCATCGCAGCGGAGGCGGCCACGCCCAAGGTGTTTCAGTTTCTGTGCGAGCAGGCCGACATCGACCTCATCACGTTCGATGTCACCAACCGGTTGCCGTTCCAGATCAAGCGGCCGTTGGTGCGTTGCATTGCTTGCGACGTTTGAAGGTTGGTCGCCGTGACTTATGACCTGCTTAACTTGTTTCTCCAGATCGCCGCTGCCATCAAGCGCGACATTCACTTTGAGATCACGTACACGCCGTGCCTGGGCGACACGGCAGGGCGGCGGTACTTCTTCTCCAACGCCAGCAACCTGGTCCGCCTCACGGGTGGAAAAAACCTCGTGTTCTCCAGCGGAGCTACGCGCGACATTCTGCTGCGTTCGCCCTACGACGTCCTCAACGTGGGGCTTCTGTCCGGCCTTAAGTATGGCCAAGCGCTCGACGCTATCTCCACATCGTGTCTGGCAGTACTGGAACACGCAGACAAGCGCAGAGGGATAACAGGAGGCGTGCAGGTGCAAGCCACGGAAAACGTAGCCATGGAATAAACTTATCTTGTTGGCTTGCAGTATTGAAGTTGCACCGGGTTACACTATATGGTCTATGATTCCATCGCCTCCGCCGAGTCGTCGTCATTGTCTTCAGCCTTCCGTTCCCGTGTGGGGGGCTCCTCCTCTGTCTTGGCGTCGTCCTGCATGTCCTCGTCGGCCGATCCCTTCTCCTCTGCGTCTTCACCTGCATCCTGTTCGTTTTCCTCAACGTCCGACGGCTCGTCCACCGACGCCATGCCTTCGTCCTCGTCGGCATCCTCCTCGTTCGTGTCAATCGCCACTTCATCCAGTCGCTCCTCAACCTCGTTGGTAGTCGCACCGCCCTCTTCCTCTTCAACCGCAGTCTTTTGGCTCTTTTTCCTGCTCGCGGCAGCCTTCGTCTCTGTATTGCATCAACCAGAAGCCCAAGAACAATGTGAGCAAGTAGAGCCGAGCTGTTTGAGCTATTGCGTATCTGACCCTGGAGGCAGGCCTCAATAGGCTCGATGAAGTGCTCAAAGTCCGCGTCTCTCAGCGTCTGCAGCACGTCCTTCAGTGTGATCGTGCTGCGCTTGTTGGCCACCGACGTCTCGTGCGCACTGCAACACGAGCAATGAATCCACGGTGAGTTAATCCACAATAGCCAAATGGATTGCAACGCGTGTGCCTCACGTACATGGACGCCAGATACAGCGTAAACACGCTGACTGCAGAGTTCAGTGTCTGCCGCGCATCCTTGGTCAAAATGGCGCGCTCGGGCAGCGCCTTCTTCACGGCGCGGGCCGTCAAACTCGCGGCGTGCTCCTGCTCCATTTTCGGCTAAAATATGCGGGAACGGCACGAACTTAGGGTTAAGTTCGATTTGATTTTTTAGTGGTGTGGTGGACACAAACTCAATAGTGTGGCCATTCGCGAAACTAAATCGCTGGATGGTGAGCGATAGCGCCAACCCCACCGGGGTGTCGGACGCGGAGCTGGCTGCGTGCGTCGCTACGCTGCAGAAGCTGCATGGTGAGGAAGCCCACCAGATTTTCCAGTCGTCGCCGCGCTTCAAGCCGCTGAGAACGGCGCTGGTGCCGCTCATTACGGACCTGCGCGCCAAGTTCTTCCACGGCAACTCGGCGGCCAGCGACAACTCGCGGCAGGAGCGCAAGCGGGCGAAGAAAGTGGAGCGCGCGAGGCAGAAGGCGCTGGACCAGCAGTATGTGAACAACACCAAGCTGCGTGCCGAGCGGCTGGCTCGACTGGCGGCGCTGCAGAAGCAGAACCCGCTGCTGGCCAACGTACCGGACGGAGTCGCGGCGGCGGGCGAGCCGATGCTGCTCAAGGAGAACGGAGAGGAAGAGAAGACGAAGGCTGCGGAGAAGGAGAAGGACGAGAAGGAGAACGAAACCGAGCAGCTGCACTACCACCGCGGGTGCTACACGTGCAAGGTCAAGTTCCGCAAGCTGCACCACTTCTACGACCGCATGTGTCCGTCGTGTGCGGAGCTCAACTACAAGAAGCGGCTGCAGAATGCGGATCTACGTGGACATATTGCAGTCGTCACGGGTGCGAGAGTGAAGATTGGTTACGAGATCACGCTCAAGCTGCTTCGTAGTGGCGCGATGGTTGTGGCCACCACGCGGTTCCCGAAAGACGCGGCCTTCCGGTACGCGAAGGAGAAGGACTTCGAGGCCTGGAAGGACAGGTTGCAGATCTACGGCATGGACTTCCGTGACCTGGGTGTGATCGACAAGTTCATGGACCATATCGAGGAGACTTTTGGGAGTCTGGACATCTTGGTCAACAACGCGACGCAGACGATTCGGCGCCCCGTGCACTACTTTAAGCACCTGATTGAGTGCGAGGTGGCCCCGGTCCCGGATGACATGGCTCAGGTCAACCAGATTCTGCGGGGCAACGCAAACCTTCTGGGTAGCGCTCCTGCGGCTGCCAACGTAGAGAGTGACAATGTGCCTGTCAACGGTGCTGCCATCGTTAGCGCGAATGGAGTCTCTTCGACGGCCATCTCCACCGGTGCGGCGTCCGCGCCAGCATCGGTGCACCTCTCGCAGATGCCCCTCGTTGCCGAGGACCAGCATTCCGAGGAAACGGCAGCCTTGTTCCCCAAGGGCCAGGTGGATAACAACCAGCAGCAAGTGGATCTGCGCACTTCGAATTCGTGGGTCCAGAAGATCAACCAGATCGAGACAATGGGTACGTTCATGGGCTTGCAGGTGCCCTGTGTATTGATGTTGATCCTAACCAGTGCTATGATTGTTTTTGCGCTATGACAGAGCTCGTGGAGGTGTTCGCGATCAACACGATGGCACCGTTCATCCTCAACAAGCGTGCGATCCCCCTCCTGGAGAAGGTAAGCGATATACTGCAGCGTTATGTGGAAACGATGTCTATCTGGTTCTGACATCTCTGTATTTTTGCTTGTCCAATGTTCAGAGCAAGAACCCGCGTCGGTTTATCATTAATGTCAGCGCCATGGAGGGTAAATTCTACCGCACCAAGACGGCGAACCACCCGCACACGAACATGGCAAAGGCTGCGGCGAATATGATGACGCGGACGTGCGCCGAGGACCTCGCTCGCAAGGGCATCTACATGAACTCGGTCGATACTGGCTGGATCAACGACGAGAACCCCCGCGACGTGGCCGTCCGCATTGCGGACACCCACAACTTCCAGACCCCGTTGGACGAGATCGATGCCGCAGCGCGTGTGCTGGATCCCATCTTCTCTCTGTTCCAGGAGGGCCACACGGACGAGCCTATCTTCGGTCAGTTCCTGAAGGACTACACTGTGTCAGAGTGGTAAACGATTCTGCGACCGGCTCCTTCATAGCAAAGAATGAGGGAATAGATTGCATGTGAACACTCTGATGTACATGACTCGCTTCGGTCCTACTCGCTCGAACTCCCTCCTCAGTAGAACACGGGCCGGAGAGGTTGCGGAGTGTGGAAGCGCGCTGGCTGGATCCAGAATCCCGGGCCCTCGTGCCGCACGAAGATGGCAGCGAGATAGGCACCGTGCTCGAGCCTGGTCATGCAGGCCTGCACGAAATCGTCCTTCTCGATGTGGTCGAGACTCTTGGTGATGCACATGTTCTGCAGCAGTGTGTTGGGCGCGAGGTCGTTGTCTCGGGCGAGCCCTCCAGCTGACGTTGCCAGGTAGGCCATCACGTCAAGCTTGAACCCTTGTTCGGTGAGCTGGCCTCGAGTCTGCGTCATCCACGTGGGGAAACTAGCAGCCACGGGGTACCGCTCCTGCGTAGAACGACGGACAAGGTTAGCTGGCTCACTGCAGACCTGACAGCGTTCTGTTGGCGTACCGAGAGCAGTGCAGACTCCTCAATGATGCCGCGCTCGTAGCCTGTCGGAATGTCACCAGGACGACGCATGGGCTCCATATTATCGCGTGGTGAGGCTTCTCCGGGTGTCTGCAAATTTGAAAGTGAGCAAGTGCGAGCTCCGTCGCCGGGTGATTTTTTCGTTCAGCGCCTGACATGGAGGACGCTTGAAGCCGCAGCCGAGATGGACCAAGCAGTCATCACGCCCAAGCAGTCATCAACAGCGCTAAGGCGCATTTTGTTTACATTTTGAATAGTCGCTGCGCCCCCAGCATCATGATTTGAATCAAATCCACAGTTTGCGGAATGAGCTCTCTCTCTCTCTCTACAGTCCGTGAAGCCATCGTGCAGCGTTAGCGAAGGTTCCTCCGCTACGAGTTGGTGTCCACTGCTATGGGCAGCGATGTAGAGTCAATCACCGGCAATTTTGCCGTTGTAGCGGAGCTCTCTCGCACCTCATCGTCCGCCTTCGCTGGTGTCGGCGGCGGCGGTGTTGTCACCTCCTGGGCAACATTCTCAGCAGGTGCATCTACCGGGGCCGCATCCTCCCCAGACTTAGTTGTCTCTGCTGCATCGGATTGCTGCTCTTGCTGCGGACTGGTCTCGCTTGGAGCTGCGGCGACTTCAACGGGCACAGCGCTCGTGATGTCGGCATCATTCGGCTGCTTTGCTTCTGGTTTGGCTTGCTCCAACTCTGCCGGCTCCTGCTCGTCCTCTTCCTCGTCGTCGAGTCGCACGATTTTATCAAGGACGACCGCCCGGCCGCTCCAGACCCAGGTCTCCCGCACTTTCAGAGTCTCGCCGCCGCCGCCGTCCTCCGATGCGCTGCGCGGAAGCACCTGTCGGTCGCGCAGCCACCACTTGCCGCGCCGGGCTCCTACCGCGGCGTGCTGCACGTAGACGCACTGCTCCTTCGGGGCTGTTGACGCCGTCGTGTCGCCCCCTCGCCGCTTCGACTTGGCGCTCTGGTCTCGCTGCGCCACCCGCTCGGGCTTCTGCTGGGGGCTGTCGGCGGCGGCAGCGGTGTTCTTCTTGCGCTCCTGCTCGAGCTGCAGCTTGAGCGCCTCCAGCTCGCGCTTGAGCGCCTCGACGTCGTCGGCCATGGTGCTTACGAGTCGCCCGTCTTGACGATCGTATGAACGTACCAACGTGTACGTTGTGAAGGGTTGCGTGGGATGTAGCCATGTGTAAGTTGATGTTGAAGGACCATCACTCCTGCGATTGAAGTTGCCCTTGGCCTGCAAAGGCATCTGAATCGAGCGAAGCATGCTCCTCATCGACGCGAACACCGCAGGACTCTCGTTGGCTCCAAAGCCGTCGTCGGCGAAGTATTTTGCCCCGCGATCCTGGGTCTTTCCGGCTGTATGTCCAAACGCATCGTCGCACTCCAATGTACGAATAACACTTGCACTTGTTCGTTTCGCTGGACTCGGTGCTTGTTGCAATTCACCACAGAGCTTCATGTGTACACGTCTACGTGGAGCTCCGCGGAGGGAACGGCTGCGTCTCGCCCCTGTGACACACGCTGTGCTGGGCCCCTATCCTGACGCGAGGGCAAGAAAGCTGCTGATTGCAGGCCGAGACGGCCACTGCCACTGCCTCGTCACAGCCAACGACGCTGAAAATCGCTGACGTCGTCTGCGCATCAACCATCATTGCCTATTAACCGACACTTGGCGATACTTATGTCCGTAGTGCCAGAGCCACTTCGACAGCGAGTCCACCAGCGGAGACCATGCCTGCTCCGTCGCGTCCTGGAGGACACCGAAAGATCCGCGCGTTAACCCATCTAACCCCAACTCTTATTCTGTATCCTACAGAATAAGCATTAAACTTGATTAAAGTATACTTCAAAACCTGTCAAAGATTTGCTGTTGGAAGCCCTTTCGCATCCTGAGGTCAAGACCGGTACGCATTGGTCGACAAAACAGCTACGAAGTGGGACATAACATCCTCAATGTATCCAACATGTGCCAGAATAGCGATCTTCTATTGGCTATGGCGAGCGTAGAGCACGCACAATACCTGTTAGCGATAAATACCCTCCAATGTTGCTAAATTTGTCACCTTTGGCGCAGACCACCAATTCTTGGTAGGAAGAGCACGTGGCAGCTCTCACGGCGAGAGAGCGCGGAGGAAGAAATCGCCCAGTTCCTAACTAACGGATTAGTGAGGAGGTACTGGGCGATTTCTCCTTGACGTCCATCATGCAACCCAGTTACAAGATACGTAAAGCTCACGACTAACCTTGTTACCTCACTCTTACGCCTCTTCCTCCTGTTCTCGCTTACGCTTACGGAATCTACTCTTGTTTCTCAGGCTCGCTGGAATTGTCTTGCCATCACCCCACGTGTCGTGCCAGATCTGAGCGCAGGTCAGTGTGTTCCCGCTCTCCCCTCGTCGTACTTGACGACAAAGCGGTACGCGGCCTCCGAATGCATCGCTGCACTGCGGACAGAAGTAGCTGGTCTCGAACGACATCGTCTTTGAGTCAGCAAATGTAGAGCACACTTTGCACAGGTACTGTCGGTGTTTGTACTGCTTCGCGGTGGAGTAGGAGCTGTCCGTGTTCGCTAACGTGTGACCTTGACGTGGGATTGGTACAGACACTAGGTCCTTTGCGTTGGGGTGGGTCTCGAAGTTGATCGTCCGCAGCGCCAAAAGCTGTGTGTGCAAGCGGCGCAAGTACTCAGCATGGGTAGGTGGCTTTTCTCCTCTTTTCTTGAGCACCCAGCAATGCACGATGTATCCATTGACGACAGCCATGTGAACGAGACACAGAAATAACTGCTTGTAGTACTTGCGCAGGGATATGCACCGCTGGATGCTGTAACGCTGAAGTCATAGCTGGTCGTGGACATCGACACCTCCCATGCCAAGGCCGTAGTCCACGACCAGCTGCGGACAAGGCACCGTGCTGCGCGTTCCATCTTTCTCCGTCCTCAGCACGCTAGTCACGTGGGTGCTGCACCCCGTGGCGAGCATGTTCACCGGCTTAGAGTCCATCCAGCTCAGTGCAACCAGTTCAGGATAGTCGTGAGCTTGTGCAATACGGTAGGTACCTCTTGTCATCCGCTGCGGGCGTTTGCTTTGCGTGAAATGGATCGGGCACCAGCCCAAGCGATCGATTCTCGTGGTGCCAACGTGATACAAGCCCATGCGGAGCAACTTCAAGCTCAGCGACACTGTGGAGTAGAAACTATCCGTCACAATCAAGCGCTTCATTGGCTGGTTGATCAGCGCTTTCGTGATGTTCCTCACGACAGCCTTTGGTCCCAGCCCCAATGTTTCTGTGGGCGCCTTCTTCTTTTTCTTCTTTGTCTTGTCTGCACCGCAGTAAATCTCAACTCTGTATGCATACAGAATACCATAGTTTATTCTGTAGGATCCGGATTACATGTAGTGGAATACAGAACAGGAAAACTCACCTAGAACAGTATGTGGTTTCAGGACAGCACGTCATGTAGAACTTCGTGCCGTACTTGCTGGGCTTGTCCGGCATGAAAATGCGCATGGGGTTGAACTTGCTGCGATTCGGCATCATTCCTTCGTCGAACGAGATGACCTTCCCCAGCCGATATCCACGACGAAACGTTTTCTCGACTGCTTGCAGCACCGGTCGAATTTTCCATGCCTTGTCAGCGTGGGCTCCGGTGTCCTCATTGTTGTTGAAGTGCAGGAACTTCATAATGTCTTCGAAGCGGCGGCGTTTCATGAAGCGTGAGAAGGTTCCGCGCGGAATAGCCCCATCCTCATCAGTACATCAGTGGTGAGCTAGGCCATCCCGAATTGGCGCCACAGCCCTAGCAAAGAGCAGCGCTACGACGTGCACGATCTCATGCGCTTGAATGGGCTTGAACTTGTTCAAGTCTGCTTCAATATCCTCCAGGTTAGGCACACTCACGCGCGGATCCTTGGCCTGTCGGGCTAGCAACTTCTCTCGGCGAGAGATTGTCATTGCCGGGATATTCTGCAGTCGGTAGAGCTCTGTCTCTTCAGCTATACGAACCCAGAGCTCCTTGGGCAGAAAGTAGAAGAACATGCCCAACGGGGAATCCGCGTAGGCGATAGCAGAACGGGTGGGGCCATATTTCCCGTCGTAATAGTCCGTTGCGGCGTCGACTTGGAGATTTCCTGAATCATCATAAAGATGGATAATACAGAATTAACACAACTGTACATCCACACATTCTGTACCATCCGGCTTACCGCTGTGCTCCTCATCGTAGGTTACCCAACCACTTTCCGCAATGGTCCGAAGATCGTCATCAGTCAAATCAAACGTCCCAGTGTCGAGATCACCTTCATTCATTTCCACGTCGTCTACGTCTTCTACACCTTCTGGAGCTATGGCGTTGTCGGTCATAACATCCTCATCATCCGCATCGGACTCGCAGTCGCTCAAATCAGCCGTCGCTACAACGCTCACGTCATCTTCAGCAGTCGGTCCAAACAGTCGTTCCTTGCGCAGCCCTTCCATGAAGTTGTCGCTGTCAAACACGTCCAGATCGATGAAGTCTTTGCACTGGTTGGGGGAATTGTCGGTCTCACTCCTGGCTTCTTCATCGTCGAACGGCCTCGATCTGTCTTCAGTAGGATCCGGAATAGCGTCGTGGGTCGCGCCACCTTGCTCTGTAGGATCCGGAGTAATGCCTTGTGCTGACGCCGTGTGATCGGTCACATCCAGAGTAGTAGCTTCCGCCCTACCAGCTTGGTCTGTAGAGTCCTCAGTAGCACCATCAACTTGCTCAGTATCCGCAGGAGAAGCTGAACGACGCACTGCATCCGGTTGGTTGGCATTAGCGGCCATACGATGCCCCATGTCGGCTTGATCAGTAGCATCCGGAATAGCAGCACCCACTCCATCACCCTGTTCTGTAGCATCCGTATTGGGGCCATTCACAGTCGATGGAGTCGCCATTGGTGTACATGCCGGGGCCAGCGAGACATGCGCAGTTGGACAGCAGGGGTGGCTCGTGGAGTCGCAGCAGCAATCGAGGCTGCATCCGTGTCCGTGCTCGTACTTCCAGCGGCTGGTTTAGGCATCCGGGCAGCTGGCGATGGTGCTGACTGACTAATAGCGGCGTACGACGCTTGCTTCCCAGCCGGGACCCGGGTCGACTTTCGAGCGCTGGGCACAGCGGTAGCGGGGAGATCAAGCCGACCAGATCGTCGTGCAAACGCCATGAGAGCCTCCTCACCTGGAGAAATACATCTATCGTTAGCATACACGTAATTATATACAAAACTTATGGTTACCCACCCTCAAAGAAGTCGATTCCACGTTTTGCTCCGTCGAGACGACCCTTGATCCCTGGCTTCACATAGCGGTGATCCTTCGCCACGCCGGTAGGCTTGCGTGCCTTCCAGCCTTCCTTGCATAGCTCGCGCCACAGCTGCTTGAACGTCTTTTCTCCGGGGCCGTTCATCGTTTCCGAAATGAGGGGAACAGTGGATGGCGGACACGCGGCAGATATTGGCTTTCGTACGAATTTTCAAACCTTTAAGGGATTTATATTGGTCTTTCTATTCTCGCCGCATAATCCCCGTCTATCTACCCATCACCAATCTGAATGGAAGATGTGTAAAGTGTTGGCCATACAAAAAGAAATATGGGACTTTTGAACTTGAAGCCAAGTTTGCAAGATATTTTGTCCTGTAATAATGCTTATTCTGTAGGATACAGAATACGGGGTTAGAGGGGTTAAGGACAGGCCGGCGGTTCGAAAAATGTAGCGCGAAGGTACAGCAAATGGCGCGATCAATTGCGGCCGCGCTTCAAGGGGATCTCTTGGCAGATCAGTCGCCAGGCCCATAACGGAATCTGCGAAGCTGTGGCGACGTGGGATTCAGTTAGCGCGTGCCGCGTGCGCAGCAGAGAGCGAGTGATTGATTGATTGAGTGAGAGGCAATGGGCGCCGCACAGTCCTGGTGCTGCGGGGTGAAGGGCAGGGAGGACAACCTGCTGCTGCCCGGCAAGCGGCGGCCCAACGGCTTCAAGCACGACCACGAGGTGCACGCCGTCACGTCGCGGCCGGCGTCAGCGCCACAGGTAGGATGCACTCACTGTACTACAGTGGGGTGTTAAGCTGCTGATGGAAGTGTGGTGATGGCAGCCGATCAAGCTGCAGGGCCCCGCGTACAGCAGCGGGAGGATGGAGGCCAAGTACGAGATGCTGGACGAAATCGGTGCGTTGTGCAGCGGCTGGGAATGATGTCAAGGAGGGAACTGACGGTGTTTGTGCGGATTGCAGGGCACGGAGGCACGTCGGTCGTGTACAAGTGCAGCGAGCGACGCACTGGGGTCGTCCACGCCTGCAAGATCATCGATCGGCGCGCCGTCGAGCGAGAGCACAACGTGTTGATGGAGCAGTTTCAAGTGCGTCGCGTGGATTAAACCATCCAGACCATACTTGTGCTTGCTGCATCGTATTCTTATTGCTGACGCTGATTTTGCTGCTGGTTTTGCGCCTGTAGGTCGAGATCCAAGTCTTGCAGTCGTTGAAGCACCCGAACATTATTCACATCGCAGACGTGTTCTTGTCCGAGTCAAAGATCTGCATGGTGCGTTAACGCGGAAGGCAACTGCTATATGATTGTTGTTTAGGTAATGATTGGTTGTGTGTTTTGTTCTGCGCAGGTGACGGAGTACATGAGCGGTGGGGAGTTGTTTGACTATGTCGTCGACAGGGGAACGCTGTCCGAGGTGGAAGCTAGCTCGATCGTTCGTCAGATTACGTCGGCCGTTGCCTACTTGCACGCACGCGGAATTATTCACCGGGACCTCAAGCCAGGTGCGTATATGAAGCGGCTGCGTTGTTCTGGGTAGTGCTAACGTCGTTTAACCTGTCACAGAAAACATCATGCTGACAAGCAAGTCGCGTGGAGCGGCTGTGAAGATCATTGATTTCGGGCTGGCGAAGTTGCTCGACGCGGATGACAAGACGGCATCGTTTCTAGGGACAAGAGGCTACCTCGCCCCCGAAATGCTGCAGCGCGAGGCATACTCCATGTCTGTAGACATGTGGGCGCTGGGTATCATCGTCTACGTGTTGCTCTGTGGCTGCCTGCCATTCGACGATGATGGGGGCAAGATCGCCAACGAGAAGGCAGCTCGGGTGCGTTACATTCTGTCGGGTCTATGCGAATGGGATATTGTTAAAGATTCCTTACCATCATTATGTGTAGGCAAAGTTTGGACTGCGCTTCCCACGCTGGGCCAGTGGTCTGTCCGAGAGCGCGAAGGATCTACTCCGACATTTGCTTGGTAGGCCAACGACTGTTTCGATCATAGTCCCGAAAGTATCAGCTCGAACTCACCTACTACTTGGCTGTGTGCTTTTACAGAGGTGGACTCGAGCGACCGATGTACGGCGGAGCAGGCGCTGGCACATCCGTGGGTCACGGGTGCGCGCACGCCCAACAAGTTCCTCAAATCGCCCAACTACCTCCGCTCGATTAAGCAGGAGCAGATCAGCCAGAAGATGAACGGACGCATGCCATTCGCGAACGGCAACGGCGTGGAGGTGTGCAACCGCAACACCAACAGCAATGGGCTGGCGATCAGCGTCCGGAGACAGTCTCGCTGATCGCACCAAGTTCGTCAGCCGAGCACTATGTAGAATTTGTATGATCCAAGCTGAAGCCATATCGATTTTGCCGTGCGTGCGTGCGTTCATTCATGTCGCACGAAGGTGATCCGTGTTACGCGTACCTTCGCGCGACCTCCCGCGTTGCTTCACCCAACGCAAGCCGGCCCGGCGCTCACTTCTCATTTGTCTCGCCGAGTCCGCACGCGCCGCGCCGTCCAAGAAGAAGAGCAGCCCTCCAGCGCCTGCGCAAAGCACGTGACCGCACAGAGGAGATCCGTGCCTTTAATCTGCCGGCGGTCTGGAGTCCAACAGAGCTCTGTGAGGCGCAATCCCAGCGACTCCGACTGTGCATAGACCCTCGCGTCTGTAGCCTTTTGCTTGCTTTATTCTGTATCAATCGCGGCCAAGATGCGGCGCTCCACGCGCCTAGAAGCCGCGTCGGGCGCGCGCGCCCCGCGGATGTCCAAACTGATCGCGCAACACGCGCAGCGCGTGCGTCAGGTCCGTCCTCCATAGCGCACCCCATAGACCCTCAAACTTGATAGACAGAAGCGCCCATATGAGGCTGCCGTAGACGCTAGAAGGAGATCTGACCGGCCCTTTGCTTGTTCACTTTATTGCTTGGCCGTACGTAGGGCGCAGACGAGTCTGAGGACGAGTGGAAGCCCGACGGAGACGAGGAGGAGGCTAGTGACGAGGACGGGGAGCTCTCGGACTCAGCCTCCTCGGAGGAGGAGATGGCCAAGCGCCGATCCAAGGCTCGAGTTAACAAGAGGAAGGTCATTGACAGCGACAGCTCCGACCAGGAGAAGAAGACGGCGCCCTCTCGCGCCAAGATGAAGATGAAGAAGGTCAAGCGCTCCACGAAGATGCTGGCCACGCCGCCGCCGATGACCAAGATGAACCAATCAGCCGCTGCGGCAGTCAAGCGCGTCGCGGCGGCGGCGAAGACAGAGCCGAAGCGCAATGGAGCAGGTGCGCCGCATTCCGCCGTGAAGGTGAAGGACGAGGTGCCGGACGTTCACCGACGACCGGTGAAGCAGCAGAAGCGCGCCAATATGCAAGTGAGTGTAAGTGCGGAGCGCAGGGCCCAGCAGACGACGGTCTCGTACAGCGGCGTGCCGTCGAACCACACGTTGGACAACTTTTTCGATGAGATTCTGGAGTGGAAGTTCTACGAGGCGCTGAGGCGAGAGACGCAGAGCAGCCACTCGTACAACACGGTGAATGACGGCTCGGAGGAGGGCGAGGTGGAGATGGAGGCGGTGGAGAAAGTGCCGAGCAAGTTTCGCTCGTATGAACATTACTTCTCGGTGTGGAAGCCCCTGGCGCTCGAAGAAGTGCAGGCGCAGACGATCAACGCCGTGACGACGGATCATCCCAACCCTGTACCGGTTACAGTGAAAGGGTTTGGAGCCACGTTCATCTCGAAGAGCTGCAAGATCCGTGTTGACCCGAAGAAGCAGAATGTCCCTGGTATGCGGCGCAAGGGCGGCTGGGAGAACCTCTCGGATTTGTTCATGAACGATTTAGTGCTTATTACACCAGACCCTGACTACTTCCGCAAGGCCCTGGCTTCATCTAAAGGGGTAAAAGTTGAGTCGAACAGCGACGGTGCGGCAGATATTCCTCCAGTTGGCTACTTGGCGATTGTGGCTACTCAGAGAGCGTCGAAGGAGGGGCTGACCATGACGATTTTGAGGTCCGGGTGGGGAGCCTTGGAGAAGGAGGAGAATAATTACCTCTTCAAGCTCAACAATCTCGTCACGAGTGTCCGCGAGTTCCGTGCGCTGTGTGACTGCAGCCATTACGGTCTGATGCCGTTGCTCCTGTCAGGTGAACACAGGCAGGGGACGATGCAGCTTGATTCTCTGGGTCTTAAGTACGTTCAGTGGCTCTCACGAACCTTTAACGAATCTCAGCGAGAGGCCATCACAGCCGCAGCTACATCAGAGGGGTTTACACTTATCAAGGGACCTCCGGGAACGGGCAAGACCACCACACTCAAAGGGTTGCTGAACTCGCTGCATTTACGCGAATACAATCGATATTACAACGCCGTCCTGGATGTGGCACGTCGACCTGACAGCGAGACAGCCAAAGCGTGGGCTCAGGTCGGGAATGAAAAGCCACACATCTTGGTTACAGCTCCATCTAATGCCGCTGTCGACAATATCGTGAGCAAAGTGATCGAAGAAGGATTCTGCGACGGAGAAGGGCGAAGATACTTCCCCAAAATTGTTCGAGTTGGGCGAGGATTGGTACGTCAATTGTGTGGTTTGTTGACTAGTTGCATCGATAACTTACATTGCTGTTTTTCGTTCAGAGCGCAAATGTTCAAAGCGTTGGTCTGGAAAATCAAGTCGACCAAATCTGTAGCCAGCCGTTGGACGTTCTCGAGGGTCAAATTGGTCGCTTACGACACGAGCTGATGGTGGTACGTAAATCTATCTTGCTGGGTTTTACTTATGCCAGGCATAACCCTTTAACACGTTCAATTGGTTACAGGTGGAGCGGGATTCGCTAATTCTTAGAGACCAGCTGAGGGGAATTGTTGCTTGGATTGAAAATGATCCTGTAAAAGCGTTAGAGGAGGTAGCCCAAGCTGCTGCACAACAGAACCAAGCTGCGGCCCCAGCGCCTATCGCTGATGAGTCGTCACGATCTCCTCCTCCCCCGCCACCGCTTGATCTACCCCCTGTATCTGCGGAGGATAACGCACCGTCGTCGCCTTCACCACCGCCACCACCGCCACATTCAGCATATCCAGATTCGCCGCCTCCACCTCCGTCACCTCCCGCACCTGGATTCGTGAGCGAGGTTCCATCACCTGGGGCCAGAAGCTCTGAATACACCCCCAGCGTTGGTGCGTTCGAAAGTGGGGAAGACGCTACCGATATGCCCGAAGAAGAGGAGGAAGAAGACGAAGAATTTCCTGCCTCTTTCGGAGCCCCCCCCCCGGCTTGGGACGAGCAGCAGGACATCTTCAATGCAGAGGCCAGCGGAAAAGCCTTGAACGCGTTCCTGGATGACGGCAGCAACTCTGAAGAAGACGAGCCGCTTCCGGTTGGAGGCAACGCGAACAAACCCGAAGATCAGGAGGAACACGACGAGCCGTTTCCTCCGCCGACGAATGTGCACGAGTCTGCTGCTGGCGAGTCAAATAGTCATCAAGGCGGCATCGGGTCTGCAACTGAGCCTATTCAAGTCGATGGTGATGAAGGCAACGATACACCCGAGCAGGACGAGCCCCTGCCAGTCCAAGCACCAAGCGTTGCGGTCCACAGACAAGTAGAAAATCTGTCGTTGATGCCGAGCCAGCCAAACCATGATGGTGGCGTTATGGTGAACTCACCCCACGGTTCATTCCCGTCTTCTCCGCCGCCCCCTCCACCTCCCCTGTCACCCCCGCCTCCACCGCCTCCACTGTCACCTCCGCCGAATGATTTCCCTGACGATCGGCATCGCCCCTCATCTCCGACCATTATGATGCCCCAGTCTCCCCGTGTACCGCCGCTTGCAGCACCTGATGCGGCTCGTGAAATTAAGGATTGGGGTCCCATCGACTACTCACGGTATCCTCCTTACGTTGCAATGGCTCAGCGGATCAACGGCTGTTTGGAAAAGCTCTCGGAGGTACGATATATGCTTGGCCCTAACTATTTATTATTCCTTGCCACTGACATTCATGGCTTGCTCTTCCATTAGGTCAAACTGGAGCTGCAGCGGTACGAGTTTGCTCGAAAAGCAGTGAGCGAAACACGGGGGAAACAGTCGCAGTCCACGCGGCAATCACTGGAGGTTTCCTTCCTGGATACAGCACACATCGTGTTCACGACATTAAGCAGCGCAGGTGTTGCTGCTTTGGATGCAAGCGCTCGATACGATGTATTGGTCGTGGATGAAGCTGCACAAGCTGTTGAGCTGTCCACCATTATCCCTATGAAGTACGTTCTACACTTTCGGGTATTGCACTCAATATTTTACTGATATGTGCATCATGTTTTGGAAACTAGATTTGGAAGCAAACAGTGCGTGCTAGTCGGCGATCCACAGCAGCTTTCAGCTACAGTCTTCTCTCGCAACAGTGGTCAATCATTGTACCAGCGAAGTCTATTCGAGCGACTGGAAACCTGTGAGCATCCCGTGTACATGCTGCGAACGCAATACCGAAGGTATGTCTACGTGGTAATGAATGTGCGGCGACACGAACTAATGTGCATTTTGTGTTTCGTACTTTTCTAGCCACCCCATGATATCAGATTTTCCACGGAGTTACTTCTACGACGGCAAGCTTCAAGATGGAGAAAATGTGAAGGGCGATGCGTACGTGAAGCCATACCACAACTTAGGCGCATCATTCCTGCCGCTGGTGTTCTGGAATCTGCTCAGCAGTCGTGAAAAGACGACCAAATCTGTCTCGCGCATGAACGTCGGTGAAGCGGAGCTAGCGGTGAATTTGTATCTCACCTTGAAGAATTCGTGCCCCCCGGACGCGATCGCTGGAAAGGTTGGCATGATTACTCCGTACAGTCAGCAAATGGAGGAGCTGAGGAATCGGTTCCGCCGCACACTGGGCGATCGCTACGAGCAAGAGGTCGAGATCAATACTGTCGACGGTTTTCAAGGACGCGAAAAGGACATTATCATCCGTACGTTGGCTCTGGCATATATATTGCTTGACTTCGAGTTTCTAACGATGTGCTCACGCAATGCTTGACCAGTATCTACCGTCCGAGCCGATCCGAAGGCCGGTGTTGGTTTCCTAAACGACATTCGCCGCATGAATGTGGCATTAACTCGAGCGAAGTTCGCGTGCTATGTGATCGGAAAGGAGAACACTCTGCGCTCCTCAAAGCCGTGGTCGGCCCTGCTGGACCACGTGTACAATAAGCACTGTATTGTGCATGTCGAAAGCCCGCAATGCAACCTGCTCACACTCAAGCCGATGGAACGACCAGCTGAAACATCAAGGAATCACCCAGCAGCACCGAGGAATCCTCATTATCAGCGTCAGGGACCCCAGCAGCATCAACCCTCCCAGTATGATATGAGCCAGCCGATGTCTTCAGGCCCCCAGCCACCTTTTGGACAGACAAACAACGGTTGGAGAGGCAAGGGACGAGGAAACGACGGAGGGCGCGGCTCGCGACGCGGCAACCAACGCCGTGGCAATCGAGGAAGAGGCCGAGGATCGCCAAACCAACAGTTTGCACCGCATCAGTTTCCACCGCAGCAGTTCGCACCGCAACAACAATTCCAGCAGGGCCCTGGCCCGCAATACGCAAATCAAGGTCCTCCGGGCGGATATGGCCAGCCCCCACAGATGAATATGCAGATGCAGCGCGCTAGACCTCCTGCGCAAAACGGGCCGCCCCAGCAACAGCCACCACCAGGATACTATGCCCCCCGTGACCCTGCTCCAGCTTTTCGACCGCCTCCAATGCAAGTACCACAAGGAGCTCCTTACGGTAACCCTCCTCCTGCTTTTCCGCGTCCAGTGAATGGCGCTGCAGGACGTGGAAATGCGAATCCTCGAGATCCTCGGCAACGTGCGGGGAGGGGAGCTGGAAACCCGGCATTTGGAAGCTGACCATGGTTGATCTCTAATAGTTTTGATATACTCTAATTGTGATTTAGAGGCTGGTGATCCTCGACTCTGGGCCCGCTGGCTGTAAATAGATGCAGACTTCGCGCTGGTGCTTACTGGAGTGGTGAACTTTTGGTCGACGACACGAAAGCCTCTGTCTGGTTGTGTCTCGCGTTGCAGTGGCCAAGGCTTAACAATCGTAGTGCGTCACCACCATGCCGATCCATCAGAAGTTCGTGTTCCCCATGAGGGAAACAATGCCGTTTTTCGTGAGTTCGTTGCGCGCCGTCGACGACTGGAAACGAATTCACGCAAAGCGCGCAGACGCGATCACGCAAGCGGAACTCGAAGCCAACGCGAAGTACGTCAAGAGCCCGTTCGCTCGCTCGATGAACGTTGAAGACCTGCTGCGCTTCTTGGACGACACCGTGCTGGATATCAACTTCATGGTGCAACTTCCGTCGATTGAAAAGTGCCTTGAGAGGTGGTGGAGGCTCTACGCACGCGACAAGCAAGCCATCGACCAGGATATCGTAAGTCTTGCCATACAACTTTTGCTGCATGATGCGTACTGATTGTGGGTTTCTAGCTGCGCAACGTATACTACGATCTAGCTTTCGTGCTTGTAGAGGCGAAGACGGAGGCGATCCACAAGAACTCGGTGTCCATGATCATGCGATCCAGTTGGACGAAATGGAGCTCAAAAGAGCCCCCACTAGGCAAAAGCGAGTTTTTTCGCCTGCTTTTCATTCTTGCACACCTGGTAGGACTTGTCAGTTTGAGGATTGTTGATGCATGCACTAAACTTCCGCTACTGTTGCGCAGATGACAGCAACAGATCGGTTAGGTGACTACGTTGTCTTCTTTCACGATACGATGGGTAAAATTTCAAGCAACTATCGCCAGAAGCAGATCCGGACGGAGCAGCACAGTCGAAGGCCGAGGATCCGGCGCAAGTCGACGCTGGACGAAATATTCAAGAACGGGGGCCCCATTTCGCCGAAGCTAGTCTCGGAACGAGATCGAGTGCAGCCTGCTACGCTTTCTCACTCGGGCGCTTCTCCTAACCAGGTACTGAACGTGCAGATGGGTCGAGTGCCGATCCAAACCGAAGGTAACAAAATGTTCGCACTACTTGAGTGTTCTGGCGCCCGTCACCTGACTGTTAAGTTTTGAACTGCTGCATCCTGTAGCCAACCTCTCTGACGACGAAGATCAAGGAGGCGATTGCTTCGTGGAACTTTTGGAACGCAAATCACGGTATCAACGTGTCGTTGTTGACCCACTTTTGAATGACCGACGCTTCCAAGAGAAGCTTAGGCACCCTGGTCGCGGTGTGAATACCAACACGACCTCGATGAACAACATGCTGGCCGCCTTGAACCCGGTGAGCAACAAATACTGCCCGCCTCTAATGGCGTCACGACTGAGGACAAAAGCGACCCCGAGCCCGTCACGCAGCAATGCATTGCACCAGTCGTCCACTTCTGCGATTCCAACAGCCTCCACGAGTTCAACCAACCAAACGTCTAGCTCGTTACCGAACGGCTCGAACAATGTCCAGGGTACTCTGACTGCAAGTGATCAAAAACTTCACCAATCAAGAAGCACTCCAGCTATCGTGGATAAACACAGCGCAAGCAGACTAGATGCAGCCTGGAACACCTCGATATCAACTGATACCTTAGAAACACCTCGTGAGGAAGAGCTCCTGCGACGAAGTTTATCTCGAGTTACGCTGAAAACGCGCGTTGATCGCAACAGGGTGGCGGGAGAAGAACGACTCAAGAACAGAGGCCATGAAACTCCGTGGCACTCACCGAAGAAGGGACAAGACGAGAAGAAGGGCATTTACCTGGCCATTTCAACGTGAACAATGAAAATCATTTACAGCTTGAAGAGCTGGGCTAGGTGGCGAATAACTGCTGCGCGGCCTTGCTTGGTGGATCGATACACGACGCGAGCACCAGCAACATCCACGATGCATTCATTCATTGATGGCCGGTTCTGCAGTCGATATGTTGTCGTGGGTAGCATCACGTTTACATCTTCTCGGGTTTCGGACGGTTTGGGCGACACGACACTCTTTGGCACTTGACTTCGAAGCGTTTTTTCGATGTGACTGGTGTACGCCGACAGATTCAGCTCCAGAGTTCCAACCTCTACTTCAAACATCGACGATCGGAGTAGCAACGCGTGGAGCATCCGAGTCCGTTTAGCACTTTTCTCAAGCTTTTGCGGGTCGTCCCTTGAACCATTGCCTTGTGGATCTCCGTTTGCTGTACTGAAACTGGGTCTCTTCGTGGCACGGGGACTGGAGTCCTTAGCGTAACCCTTTCGAGATCCTTTTCTTTTGGGCAGGTGAGCAACCAGGCTGACGAAGCTGTGGTAAGCATCTTGCAGGACAGAAAAATGAGTTGAAGTCGATACATCCATATCTGCAAAGATACAACGATAACAGTAAATGTAAGCACTTTCACCCTATCACAACCAAAACATAGCAATACTTACTTGGTGCCCGTAGTTCATCGGCGACACTCTGACCCATAGCTAAACGCATTGCAGCTTCATTACAGTCGATCTTGATCGGTCCGATGCACACCCTTCCCTTCAGTCCCAGTTCTTCTTCCAGATTCCCCACGAACTGGACCCTTCCCGTTGGTCTCGCCGCTACCTCTTGAGCGGAATACTTCAGACCGACGTAGAAGAACCCGTCTTCAGGTAAGCGGATGTGGTCACTTGAGATCCACTTGTACTCCGAGATACCATTTTCCAAGTTAGCACTGTCAGTCTTGCTATGGAGATGCTGCTGACGAACCAGAGTGACATGAAACAACCCCACGCGAGCCTCCAGAAGTATCCGCAAGAACGGCGTTCGAGTGAGCAGCACTGCACCAGAACAGCTCTCGATACCGAGTTCAATTCCAATGCCACGCTTTACCTTGAGCGTTTGATCAGAGTTCCCCTCGGACAGACGCAAAGTCACGGGCCCCAACTGCCAATTGAGTAGCGGAATGACCTTGGACGGATTGAGAATCCAGGCCGGGAAGAATTGCTTCTCAAACCAAGATGTCGTGTAGAGACCTAGCTTCCGCTGCTTGTAGATCCACGCTCGAAGCGGCTCCAAATCTAACGCATTTTCATGCTTGGTGGGGCTCGGTAGATCACTCGTCGAAGCAGCATGAGGACGCGACAAAGGTGGAGAAGCTGGTCGAACGGATAGCTCAGCAGGGTCAATAGTTAAGCCTCGTGTGAAACGCCTTCGTTCAGCAGCAGCGCTAAATTTTGAAGACTGTGACTCCGGTGGAGATGACACTGCGTTGACCGAAACACTTCGACTGTGACGTGATGAGTGGTCCGAGCTTGAATCTGCGGGGGCGATCGAGAACTCCATCGCTGACGAAATCTTTCGCGTGGGTGAAGGAGGAGCCGCCGTGAAATCTGCGCGGAGCTCATATTCAGCCAATGCTCGACACACGCGTTGCTCGTACACGGTCATCGTAGCAACGAAGTCGGATAATTCCCACTGTTCTTCTTGGGTCAGTGGTTCAAACTCCGGTAAGGGGCGACGTCGCGGAGATGGAGGAGAAGAGCCTTTACGTGTTTTGGTAATGTCACCAGTCTGTTGATCTTGCTGAAATCCTAAGGCCAAAAGCGCTTTTCCACGCCCGTACAACGCAATTTCCATTGCAGCGGGACTCAAACTCCGCGCGTACAAGTGAATGTAGCGTTTCCGACGTATTTCTTGGAGCTCCTTGTCGTCGAATTCGTTATAGCGCCACCAGTACCTTGGGTCAACGAACTGTGTAGGGTCCCTCTCCTCTGATGAGTTCTTTCTGGATCGTTGTTGCTGGTCCAGGATACACCGGAAAGCATACCTCCACATTGCTCGAAACCAATGCCTAGACTTCCGCTGTTTCTCCACAGTAAAATCGCTATCTGGTGATACAGGAAAAAGAGCAGTGGACACGATGTTGACGCTAGGAGGTGCGTGATGCTCCCGGTCGATGCACGAAGGACGCCATTTCCACGTCCGGAAACGTTTGAAGTAGTCCACCACGTGCTCCAGCTCTTCCAGTATGACAGCGATCTGGTCAAAATCGACATTTAGCTCGATCTCCTCAGTCGCTATGTCGACTGCCGCCAGCACCGGCTTCATGAGGCGACCACTCACAGCGGCGTTTTGTTCAGGAGGTACAAAGTCGAGCTTTATCCAGATAACGCGCACGAATACCAATTCACGCCGTCCGTCACGATCCAATGGCTTCAGCACACACTCTTTGAAGCGCTTTAGTGCATCTTCGTGCGTGCATTGGCGGTGCCGGGTCTCTGCTTCGGGAGCTGTGAGCAGGGCAGACGCGGCTGGATGTTCCGTCCCATCAGAAGACGTATCTACTTCTGAGGGTGAATTCCAAAACGCCTCGGCATCGAGATCCGTGTAAAACGACACGTTTTCGATCGTAAGCAGCTTGGACATGACACCGTCAGCCGCTTTCGGGTAGTTCACGCCAGGCTGCTGGCGTCTGTACAGAATCTGCTCCTCCAACTCCCTTGGAGCAAAGCGGATTAACTGCGCAACAGTAAATAGTGAGGACGATATTCTGCACGATTGAGCGAATAACTTGGCTGTACGCACCGGTATGTTAAGACCGTACGCCACAAGTTTATCGCTGTCGGTCCTTGGACTCTGTACATCCAAATTGACTGCTTTGTAAACGCCTTTAAAACAGTTGAATGCAATTCATCCATGCTCACCTCCACTCGAATGTGAATGCGTTCCACCTGGACGCTCATCTCGGCCCCCACCGCTTGAATCCGACTCTGCATCATACACCAGTTGTAATTATCTCAGTATGAGAAGCTCAAGCTGTACGGCACTGCACTTACCGCGGCCCACTTGGCAGGAGAAAACAGCGACCCGTTCCCCTTCTTGGCGGCGGACGGCGTTCCAAGACACTGCATCAGGGCGACGACGAGCTCTTTGGCGTAGCGAATGAGCAGCTCGTTGTCCCACTGCACTTTGTGCGGTCTCAGCACGAGGCAAACGTCACTGACGCTGACTTCCAGCGGCCAGCCCGCCACGGCCCCCACGAGGCCCTCGATCTTGACGTTGCCAATGTACCCGGCCGACAACTCGAACGGCAGCTGCAGCGCACTAATAAGCTGGCAATATTTTGCAATAGAAACCCCTTAGTGTGCCAGCCAGCACTAGCAAGTTAATGCTCATGACTTACTGCGGTCTTGAGGAAGACGTCGCTGAGCTTGAAGTGGCTGGACTCGAACAGGTCCCCGGCGTAGAAGGACACATTGCGCTCCTGCACGTCCACGAAGAACTCGCCCAAGATCTGCTGCAGCACCTCGAAGAGCATCTCGTCCACCCACAAGAGCCCTAAGCTAAGCTCCACCCCAAACGCCGCTTGGGGGCCAGCCAACTTCAACGACCGACCGAAAACGATCATTATGTGGTGCACATAACTCCAAAATGAGTCCTTGGTGTGCACCACATCTCGGCGGCCACGTTGCCCAGCGTCGAATCGATACGAGAAAGAGAGCGGAAGCTACTGTGCCTCCCCCTTGAGCACCTGAGCGTCGCAGCCATGATCAAGTTCGTGCTGATGGTGAACAAGCAGGGCCAGACGCGCCTGGCCCAGTACTACGACTTCCTGTCCATCCAGGAGCGCGTGGCGCTCGAGGCCGAGATCATCCGCAAGTGTCTGGGCCGCAACGAGACGCAGGTGCGACCGCCCTCCTTCGTCTCCCCTCTGCCTTGCCAAATTACCGGTAACGAGACTGACGCACTGCGGTGTTGTGTTGTAATTTATTGTGTGCATGCAGTGCTCGTTCGTGGAGTACCGCGGCTACAAGGTCATCTACAGGAGATACGCGTCGCTCTTCTTCATCGTGGGCGTCAAGGACGACGACTCGGAGGTGCGCAGGCTGCTTCCCTGACAGCTGCCAATGGCTGGACGCTGAGAGCTTATTGTTGGTGTTGCTGCTTTAGAACGAGCTGGGCATCCTCGAGTTCATCCACGCGCTGGTGGAGACCATGGACAAGTACTTCGAGAGCGTGGTACGTTATGGGGGAGTTGTTGTGGAGATGGAGAGGGTGCTGCAGACTAATGGGTTGTGAGTGTGGTGCTGTTGCTGTGTGGTGGTATGTACGGTTTGGATTGTGCAGTGCGAGCTCGACGTAAGTGGGAGTGTGAATTTGCTGCTGTGGTTAACTTCTGTGTCTGATGAGTGTGAATGGTTTTATGCTTGTTGCAGATCATGTTCAACCTGGAGAAGGCGCACTTTATCCTAGACGAGATGGTCATGAACGGCTACATTGTGGAGACGAACAAGATCTCCATCCTCAAGCCCATTCACCTGATGGAGAAGGCGTCGTAGGAGGACCAGCTTGCGAAGATCGTGTCGAGCTGGTGCAAAGTTGTGAGCGGAGTACGAGCGGTCTGCTTGCTGTCACAAATACATATTCTTTGCCCAAAAAGTTGCTCAGTCCATCCGATGGTTAGAAGCACCGCCAGGTTCGATTGGCACATCGCCTATTGACACTATCGTAATGCCCAGATCAGGAATTCGTGGGAATCGCGACTGGATAATCTTAGGGCAATCCTGGGTATGTCGATCACCGCATACTTGACTACATCCGTGGACGCGCGAACGAGATTAACCCCCTTAACACACTGAACGCAAAAGAATTTTTTTAATTCTCTTTGTTGATCTGTTGGAACTTCGAGTCTGCTGTTGACGTTGTGGGTGGCGTTGGGCCATGGTTGTCGAGCAACCGGTTGATCCACTACAGCATCCAGAAGCGCGACAGTCATTTGTCTCCATACAGGGGTCCAAACACGGTTTCCAGCAAGGCGACGGCAAACAACCCACCCCGTCGACCCCGATGAAACAACACAAGCAGCGATTATCCCAGCCAGAACGATTTACACATCCTTTTTCGCCAGTGATGTCTTCTCCGCTGGCCACAATAGCGATTGTAAAGGCCACCACCACGAAGAGCCTGGCTTGGAGGATGCGGTAGAGGTGTCCTGCTCTGCATACGATAAATTAGCGTTGGCAACTCCTACAACTTCAATCGAGAATACGTACCCTCGCTAGTTTTCGCTTGTGCTCCAGACGTGGTAGTGCAGATTCCACCACCAGCACTAGAACCTTACCCTCAGCGCGAAACTCCCCTCCGAAGTACCGGTCGCTGCTGAAAGGGTTGATCTCCTCGAAGTAGAGCATCCATCCATGCTCGTCAAACGCCATAGGTATGTCCTGTCATCGAGCGTTACAGCTTTCGCACCAGCCAGGTCCAGCCATTCGCCACCCTTCCGCGCCAGGTAGAGCTGCATATCGGCCGGCAGCTTACGGTGTTTCAGCACGGACTCCAGCTCGGCTGCGATGGGTTTTACCAAGGACCCAATGAATTTGTTCGGCTCGATCTCGACGGAAAACTGGAGGCCATCCTTAACGCTGAAGCACGGAATCGTCACGCTCTCCATCTTTAACGGATTCTGGAATGGAGCAGTGGGGATTACTTTTCGTCGCAACTTCGCGGTCACTTTCTGCATGTGACCGTGTGCACTGTATGCGCATCAATTCACGGTGACGACGTGCCATAGCGCGGACTGTTGCAGAATGCTTGCGAACGGTATCTTGGGGATCAGTTTGGTCATTTCTGAATGAGAGTGGTTGCTGCACCCGTCCACTGGAGTCATCTTTTGAATTGTCCGCACTAATAACCTAACCACGCTTCTGACCTCCATCCGAACTTCGTATACGCGGTATACTTTCGACGTTCAACCATTCATTCCTAAAACTGCGGCGAGCCGCCACACGCATGAATCCCCCCCCGCCGCGCGGTCGCCCTGTTGGCCGTACAAGCATGCGCATGATGTCGACGACTACCGGTAGCGCCTAGTGGTGCTGCAGCGACACCTCGTGGCGACGATGACGTGGAGCGCTCCCTGGCTGGCTGGCAAGACTGCGGTCGGCGCAACACAAAAGGCGTCAGAGCCCCCCCTTCCTCCCTGCGCGCGTTTGAAGAGATGCACGAGCATCAGGCCACCTCTCAGTCCTGTCAGGCAAGTAACTGTTCGGGGGAGATCTATGCATCACTTGGTGTATTCATACTCGTGTCTGTACGCGCAGCGGCCAGCTTTAACCGGCGGAGACAGAAGGCACTTCCTGCTCCGCTTTCAAACAGCTTTACCAGGAGAACAAGCGAAAGAGCGCAAGCAGAATGCGTGAGACTTCAGCGTTTGGGATCAGTTCGAGGGCGGGGCTATCGTCAGTCGGGTACAGCGGTATCAGTCGGGGAAAATTAGCTTCCAGTCGGGCAGTCGGGTGCGGTGACGGGTGACGGTGTTCTCAGTCGGGTACCGGTGGTGATGTTTGTTGTTTGCTTGGCTAGGTCAACGCATGCGCTCAAGTTGTTTGCCAGTACAAGACTACAGCTCGTGGCGTGGCCACAAGAATCTTGCGAGCTGTTGGTAGGAGTTAACGTAAGAGAACGAAGGAAAAAACAACGTAATGGACTGTCCGAGATGTGTAGTGTCCTGTACTGTTCGAAAATTCGCTCCCCGTAAGCTATGCACTTAGTCATTTCACTTAGAGGCCTCAGAGAGACCATTTGCAACCGAAGCAAAGCATAGGTCTGCAATGTTCGGCGCTTGGGCCGGAAGGTATGCCTAAGTAGGAGTTTCTATCTAATCCAGATACCTCGCCTGGCCGAGCCGAGGACTTAGCGTAAGGCTCGAGGGGGTGGGGCAGGTCGCGCAGCGGCGCCCCTCGAAGTGCCGTTGCTAAGTCACACAGGCGAGAGCCAACGTGAGAGTGTCCAACCCTCTTTAACAACAAGTAACAAGTCCTTAGTCGCTTTGGTGGTCGGCATTCGGCCTTCTCGAACATTCTTCATCTAGCCGGTCTATACATGGAGTATACAACTTGCTTCAGTTTTGGTCGGTTCTTGACGGTCGTGGTCGGGCGCAAACGGGTACAATAGTCTCGTCACAGCCTAGTTTTCCATATGGTGGACGGGTGCAGCAACAAGTGCCTTTCTGAATTGCTGAGCGTCCTGCGCGTGCACTTGCCCATGACGCGCACGAACGAGAAGACCCGCTATTGCCTGCGGTGCAAGCCATATACGGCTCGACCAGCAACAAACTGAAGATCAAGAGGTGCCTGATCGTCTTGGGCATTGTGACGGCGGTTGTTCTGTCGGGATCGAGTGTGTGGTGGCTGTTGTTCGACAATGGCCATGAAGGTGCAGCGGTCCCGGCGGATTCGTACGTCTGTGGAGACACCAAGAGCGAGGCAGGCTACATCAAGTTGGCAAACAAGCAGGACGACCACTACTTCTACTGGTTCTTCGAGTCTCGCAACAATCCCGAGACCGACCCACTTGTGCTGTGGCTTACTGGAGGTCCCGGTTCGTCCAGTATGTTCGCTCTACTCACGGAGAATGGTCCGTGCACCATTCAACCAGACCTGAGCACCAAGTTTAACCCGTACTCGTGGAACAACAACGCCAACGTCATTTGGCTCGACCAGCCTACCGGAGTTTTGGCTCCCCAGCGGACAAGGACTACAACGAAACGGACGTGGGGGAGAACATCTACTGGTTCTTGCAAGGATTCATGGAGAAGCACCCGCAGTACCGAGGCCGCGAGTTCTTCGTGACGGGCGAGAGTTATGGTGGACACTACGTGCCTGCTGCGGCGCACTACATTTGGTCGAAGAACAACGCAGGCAAGGCAGATGGAGATGCTTCGGTCATCAACTTGCAAGGAATTGCCATTGGCAATGGACTTACCAACCCAGCGATTCAGGTAAAATAGCAGCGTTGTTGTTATTGCACTCAGCGTGGTTGACATTGCTGTGGTAATTTGGTGCTGCAGTTTGCGTATTTCCAAGACATGAACCACAACCGATACAACATCACGCTTCTTACTGATGCTGAAGAGCAGCAGATGAAGACTGACAGTGTGGAGTGCATCCGCCAGGCTCGCGAGTGTCATTTGGCGCTGCAAAATGGGGATATCTGCATGGTTTCCGTGCAGTGCTGGGTTGACAAGCTCATCGGGCCTTTCAACAGCGCGAATCGCAATAACTACGACGTCCGCCAGCCGTGCAACAACAGCGACCCCAGTGCGACCTGCGATGACACGCCTACGATTACTGCATACCTCAATTCTCCTGCTGTCAGGAAGTACCTGAACGTTGACGAGCGTGTGTCGGCGTGGCAGGAGGATAATAGCGACGTGGAGATGACGTTCGCCTCTGATGGTGACTGGGTGGTTCCCTTTCATGAAGTCATTGCGGACATGTTGAACGACGGCCTGCGTGTCCTCATCTATGCCGGCGACGCTGATCTCATGTGCAACTGGATCGGTAATCGAGCGTGGACTTTGGCCCTGGACTGGAGGGGCAAGGAAGGCTTCAACGTAGCGGAAGAGCGAGCTTTCGTCGCTCATGGCCCTTTGTTGTCCGAAGGATCGACACCCATCGACGCTGGCGTGGTGCATTCGTTCAATAACTTTGCGTTCGTGCGCGTGTATGATGCTGGGCACATGGTGCCGATGGACCAGCCCGCAGTCTCGCTGGATCTCCTCAGCAGGTTCCTAGCCGACGAAGAGCTCTGATAACAAAAAAAAACTTTAAGAAAAATCTGGAGAATGAGATTGAGTTGATACCTTTGTACGATCGATCCAGTTAGCCATGGATCGACACACCAACGCGGAATTGTGCTGGTCTGGCTCGAAGCACTCAATGAACACTGCCGAGATTTTTTCTTTAAAAGGGGAAAGCGCTGGCTGCGCTGCAGAATGTTTGTGAAGGATATCTGTTCAGTTTGCTCATTCGTCCTGCGCGCGCACTTGTCCGCCGCGGCGCACTACTTTTGGTCGAAGAACGAGGGTGATAATACGGATGGAGATGTAGTCATCAACTCGCAAGGCACTGCCATTGGCAATGGACTTACCAACCCGGCGACTCAGGCGAGATAGCAGCGTTGGGGTTATTGCGTTTAGCGTGGTTGACATTGCTGGCGTTTATTTGGTGCTGCAGGTTGCGTATTTCCATCGCGAAGCGGCATACAGATGTGATGGAATTTCTGTTTAGGCTGGAAGGGAGTTGGAGCGACGTGCTCATCACGGCAGTGGAGCGCACTTATGCGGATCGAGCTTTCAAAGGGTATCGCGAGATGAGGAAGGATACATCCTTTCTGTAGTTCTACTGACGAGCTTCTGCTTGGAAGTACCAATCACCTATAGCCAGGAACACTTGACAAGGCCTTGAAGATTGCTGCTATAAACTCGCAGAAAAGTATCGACACGCTGGAATTTCGCTGCAGTAAGGCACATGCCACGCAGAAAGCCATTGCCAAATCTTTCACTAGTACAGACCATTCGATGGTCGTCAAGTATCTTTACGAGAACGAGCGCATCTCCGAGAAGGCGATCGTTGCAGCATGTAAGAAAGCTTCCGGGTGGGGCAAGAGGCACCTCCACTTTTGTTATAATGCCTATCGGATCGAAATTGCAAAGATACGGTGCAAGGATAGCTGCATACCGGTGAAGTGGTCGGCAGGGCGCTCGTGCATTCAGCGTTCAGTGACCCAGCTGAAATAGTGGTGCTGCTGCGTCACGACACCCGCATATCTGCTAAGCTCAAGGGTGAGGGATAACAGTGACTTGATGGCATCATTGTTCGACAAGAAACAAGCCCTTCCAGATGCGATTTGGATGACATTCCAATGCGCTTCCTGTCCCCTTTGGCGCCAGCACTTCAAGAAGTTAGTGGAGCTGGTTTTCGCCGACAAGGATGTGCCACGAAAGGTCAAACACTGGATTATCCTCCGAGCGCGCGACCATGACCCCCGAGACACCTGTGGATCTGAACTGCAACTTTTGCTCAAAGCTTTCCCCGCCAGCAACTATTGGCGTCGTTTCTTGGGAGCCAAAGATGAAAGCTCGCTCTTCAGCTGCGTAAGGTTTGGATCGGCACACTGTAATGGAAAAGCTTAGTTGTGTTCGAGAAGTTTTGAATTGCTCGTCAACTTTTGGTTTTGCCAGTCAAAGCGCTCGTCCAATCCGATGGAGGAGCGATTCTGATTGGTCGAAACGCGAGTTCGGGGAGCTCGTGGACTTCGCGCAGTACGAGTGCACCGAGCTCGTGCGGTGCGCCCAGATCGTGGAGTGCGCCCAGTTCGCGTAGTGGAGTACCGAACAGGAGAAGCAGAAGGAGAAGGAGGAGAAGAAGGAGAGGAGAAGGAGAGGAGGCCAAGTGTCCACGTGCGTAGCTGCCTGCTGCCTGCTGCCTGTATCTTGACCATACTAATATACCCAACCGGCAGCGCAATACAATTCCGAGCAATCCCGAGCGCGGCCACGACGGCGCCGCCTGGACCACCGTGGACGAGCACAGCTGGGCGAGCGCCGCCGAGATCCCCGCGCGGGGCGCAGAGGCGGGCAAGATCGAAGCCGTGGGCGTCAGCGAGCTGCCGGCCAAGCCGGCGGCGTTCGAGGAGGAGACCGTGCGCAAGAAGAAGCTCACGAGCGTCGTGTGGGAGACCTTCACGCCCGTCTCCAGCAGCGGCCTGCGCGACGGACTCATCGACTCAGCCAAGTGCTCGGTCTGCAACAAGATCTTCAGCACGCGGCACGGCACGTCGTCCATGATGCGGCACGCCAAGCGGCACAACGAGTTCCCGAACGGCACGCCCACGGGCAAGAGGGGCAAGAAGAGCGCCAACGGAGCTGCGGCCAATGGCGCGGCAGTCGCGGTCGCAGCGGGCAAGAAACCTATTGCAGTGCAGAAGAAGGAGACGGTCGTGGTGCAGCTGGATGAACACGCAGCAGGTACAGAATTGGATGGCGTTCAGAGGGTTGGGAGATGGAGGGTTTTGACGTTGGTGTGGTGTTTGCATTGGTGGCAGGCTTGAAGCGACAGAGGTTACGGAATTTGAGTAGCGCGCTGATTGAGTGGGTGGTAGAAGACCAGCAGGACCTCGGCGTATTGCAGCACGAAAAGTTCCTGGACGTGCTGGCTGCGGCGGGCATTAAGCCGGTGATCCCGCCGCTGGATACGCTGCAGAAAGCCATGGAGAGGAAATACTACGCGCTGTTTGCGCGGGTGGGTGAGTACATCAGTCGGTCGGCAGTCGGACGTATCACGTTTTCGTGTGATACGTGGTCGGGGCTCGTGTGCAAAGGATACGTGGCCATCCACCTGCACTGGATCAATGCTGAGTGGGAGTATAAAACCATCCAAGTTGGCCTGGAAGGCTGTCCACCGGAGTTCAACGCGTATTTCATGTCGGACTTGCTGTTCAATGTGCTTCAGATCAACTGGGGCCTCGGCAACAAGTTGCTCTGCGGCGTCACGCCAATGGGCAACGAGTCTGCTGTGGGCATGGGCTTCCTGCGCGAGAAGATCAAGGGGATGATAGGCATAGATAACATTTCCCCGGACTGGAACGTGACGTGTTTGGGCCACCTCATTCACGTCGGCGTGCTCGCAGCGCTCAAGGAGATTCGGCACGAGATCGTCAAGCTCCGCTCGCTGCTGTCGCTGCTCAAGTCCACGACCGAGAACCAGGAGCACATCACGCTGCGCACAACCGACATGGGGCTGCCCTACCCAGAGTCATTACCCAACCTGGACTCCCCCAAGAACTGGACGACAACAATCACCATGATCTTGGAGTGCGCCAAAATCAAGGATACCATCAACGCCCTCTACGGCGACGCCACCAACGGCATGAACGTGTTCCTGTTAGAAGAGATCGAGTGGGACTTGCTCGTGTGGGTGGCCACCTTCCTGCAGAAGTGCATGCAGATGGCGACGTGCCAGAGCGACGAGAAGCACATTTCGCTGAGCACCTCCATCAATGTCTGCAAGGCGATCGTGGGGCTGTGCGAGAGCACCGCTGCGTCGGCGTCAGACTTCACTGCGAGCGCCTTCACCAAGATCCAGACGGTGTGCTTGAAGGTGAAGACCAGCCTCGAGTCGTACCACACAGAGCATTCGTCGCCGTACTTCCGGCTGGCAAAGATTTTAGACCCGCGGTTCTCCAACGAGTCGGTGGACAAGGCTGCGAAGAAGACCTTCTTGCGGGAAATGCTGCGCACGAACGTCTACGACTCCCTGTCGGACGCTCGGCTGGATGAAGACCAAGCGCGGCATGATGCCTCGGCCGCGTACACAACGTTCGAGAAGCTGCTGGATATCGGCGAGGGGATGCCCGACTACACCATCGACGGCGACGAGGTCGATCGGTTCTTCGACGCGACGTTGATTCGGGACAAGCGGTCGGACCCGTTCCTGTGGTGGAAGTCGAACGAAACGCGGTTCCCGTCGCTGGCGAAGCTCGCGAGAGATATCCTGTCGATCCCCGCCACCGCTGTGCCCAGTGGTGCTGTGTTCACCCAGGCCAACTACGCGCGCGCCCTCAACGCAGACGTGATGGAGACGACCAAGCTGTTCAAGTTCAACGAGCTTGCTCGCGCGTGGCAGATCGAGCGCCAGAACTTCGGACGCAAGCGGCGTCGCGACTCTTTTGACTACTTGGATCCTCCGCTGGAGCCTCCGGCCAAATTGGCGTCATATGAAGAAAGTATTTAGGTAAAACGACGACAACATCGATCGAAAACTCAAGTGTCAGTCATCCCGCGCAGCATGCAATCCGTTCTCTATGCCTAGCCACCACATTTTTGACCCACTGTCGTTGTATAACGAGTAAATAAGAAGAAACTCGTACCTCCACGTGCTGCCCGCTCCCATTCGTCTTCAGTTTTCGTTCTACCAGCCCCCTTCGTCTTCATGCTGCAGAAGTTGAAGTTGTACCGAAAAACAGCAACACAATTACTACTGTAGTAGTGAAAGTATTCCATCCATAGTAGTATTATATGATACAACGCGATCCAATATTACCCATTCTACTACTCGTCCTGTTCACGTCAGCATCCCGCAGCAACTTCAACGGGCGTCGACGTCAGGGTCCTCCATTGCGCGCATTCCCCGATCTTCCCGCAAGCCTCCACCGCCAAGCCCCGCCCTCCCCCGTACACTTCCTCCCCCCATGGTGCTCAAGAACGTGTACATCGTGGCGGCCAAGCGCACGCCCTTCGGCAACTTCGGCGGCAAACTTAAGGACGTGACGGCCACGGACCTGTGCGCGCAGGCGGCCAAGGCGACGATGGCCGCCGCCAAGCTGGACCCGGCGCTCGTGGACACGGTGCAGGTGGGCAACGTGGCGCCCACGTCGGCCGACGGCGCGTACATCGCGCGCCACGTGCAGCTCAAGGCCGGCATCCCCATCGAGAAGCCGGCGCTCACCATCAACCGCCTGTGCGGCAGCGGCTTCCAGTCGGTCGTGGGCGGCATGCACGAGATCCTGCTGGGCGAGGCCGAGATCGCGCTCTGCGGCGGCGCCGAGAACATGTCGCAGAGCCCGCTGGCCGTGTACGGCCACCAGGCGCGCTTCGGCGTGGGCCTCGGCGCCGGCCTCAACCTGCAGGACACGCTCTGGTCGGCGCTCACGGACTCGTACGTCAAGACGCCCATGGGCATGACGGCCGAGAACCTCGCCGAGAAGCACGGCATCACGCGCGAGGAGTGCGACGCCTTCGGGCTGCGCAGCCAGACGCGCTGGGCCGAGGCGCAGGCCGCCGGCTGGTTCGACGCCGAGCTGGCGCCGCTGGAGGTCAAGGCCGGCCGCAAGACGGAGGAGTTCGCCGTGGACGAGTCCCCGCGCAGTGTGGACATGGCCAAGCTGGCCAAGCTTAAGCCCGTGTTCAAGAAGGACGGCGTGGTCACGGCCGGTAATGCCTCGGGCATCTCGGACGGCGCCGGCACGGTGCTGCTGGCCAGCGAGGAGGCCGTGAAGAAGCACAACCTCACGCCTCTGGCGCGCGTCGTGAGCTACCAGGTGTCAGGAGTGGACCCGACCATCATGGGCATCGGCCCCGTGCCCGCCATCACGGGCGCGCTCAAGCGGGCAGGACTGAAGAAGTCGGACATTGACATCTACGACATCAACGAGGCCTTCGCCGCGCAGTGGTTGGCCTGTGTCAAGGAGCTGCAGATCGACCCGGAAATTGTCAACCAGGCCGGCGGTGCCATTGCTCTCGGACACCCGCTGGGCGCCTCCGGAAGCCGCATCACGGCACACCTCGCGCACGCGCTGCAGCGTACGGGCAAGAAGTACGCGGTCGGATCGGCTTGCATTGGCGGCGGACAGGGCATCGCTCTCGTGCTGGAGAACACGGCATAAACTTTTTCGAGGGAAGAGAATCACCGACTGCGAAGGGCAGTCACTCAAGTAACAAAACTGAATAAACAAGCGGCTATGATCAATATGGATAGACTCCAGTGTTCTCTGATTGACGTTTGCTAGGGTGGAGAGTCTCCACTGGAGACCATGGTTGTAGATGGATTGATTGAATAGAGTGACGGTTGTCGGAGAAGGATTGATCGAGAATTGGGAGATGCTGAAGTATCCGATGAGGCCGCATTACCCAAGAAGCTGAGGTCTCACCAAGCGCCATGCACTTGAGCAAGCTTGCCACTCTATCCAGCATTCTGGTTGTGTCTATCGCTGCAAAGTGGGGCCAAGCAAAGACGTTCGAGTCACTTCCACGCACTGGGGTCGTCGTCTCGACCATCTCGTTCGAAACCAGTGAGGAAGGCGGACTTTTCAAGGCAGAGGAGGAAGCTCCAGGAAGGCTGTTGAGAATTCAGGGCAAAAGTGACGACGATGATAACAAAGATAACGATGACGATGACTCGGACGACGACAATGATGATTCGAATGACGACAACGACTCAAGCTGCTAGAGGTAGTAAGAGCTCGAGCTGAGCCCGCCAAGGCCCCCCCCCCCCCCCCCCCCCCGCAGATCATCCAGTCCTAGGAAAAACTATTTCCGACACAGTTGTGATTCATGTAGGACGTATATCACGTAGGGCACTTTGCTGCGGCAGTTATTACATGATGTTTGGGGCGCCACATGGCAGAGGGTAATTGTACTTGAATACTGTATTCAGTTTTGCTCAATTTGGTTCAGATTTCGAGGATGGCGTTCCTGCAACGTTATCAGTCATCATTTTACAACGTCACAACACTTTTACGGCAACGTTAGGGCCTTATTGCGACGTTATAAGCAACATGGGTACATGGTAGGACAAGGTCGGACTTGTAATTTATCGGATAAATTCCTGGTGTGTTGCACATAGATAATTTATTTCTGAGGTATTATCTGTGCTGAATGAGTACATAGTAGGCTCACGAGGTGCGCAAATCTATCGAGCCGCTCACTGAGGACTTCAGATGTGAGGGTGGGAGAGTTCTGAAGTGGCACACACCACGAGTACACTTTTGTGAGCGCAAAGTATGCTAACAGAGGCTCAAAATGTGAATACTCTGGTGTTCGGATTCATTTATCTCTGCATGGGTACGTTTTATCGCGGATGCCAATGGTCTTCTGGGCTGTACTTCTTCGACAACGAGACCTAGTTCTTCTTGTAAGAGTATATAACTAATCAAGAGCTCGTAAAAGCGTTTCAAAAGTGACCATTATTTTTCGTAACCATTAACGTTGCTCTTTTGATAACGTTGCTCTCGCAGTAACGTTGCCCGCTAACGTTGCCCTTCGATCACATCGCCCATTAACTTTCTTCGAGGTAAGTTGTTGGTGACAGTATTGCACGGCAGCAAACCCTACTGATAAACCAAGTAACATACCAGGTCCACGTCGCTGGTTATAACATTATGATATTGTGAGTGTACGGACACTTTCATTATGCATTCAATGCTGTGCCATCGTGCATTGACTAGTTTAAAAATTATTCTCTTACAAACTTGTTGACCTTTTCTCAGAAAATCTGGAATAATAGTAGACGCTGAAGTTCCGCGTCTACTACGGAAGTTCCGCGTCTACTGTATAAAGTCGTGTCGGAATCTATAAAATAAAACTATTAGGTGCACGTCTATTACCTTCGGTTACTATTCAGTTATACTCTCATTGTCTCCGTCTTAGTACATCCGCCAGATTATCAATGACTACATTGCCAGGTTGCGTGTACTTCACCTACAATAAATAGGCTTCAATATTTTAACAGTATGAAGTGTAAAAGGCTTAGTACGAGTGGTGCAACCGTCAATCGCGCATCATAATTGTTAGGTAAAACCAGTTAACGTTGCGACTATTAGCGTCGCTGTAAAATTTGGAACTTAAGAAGCGTAAGACTTGAATTGCTGCCTGTTGCTTAGCCGATAAACCATAGCTGTTCATGCTTATATTTTACGTATTACTGTGTACAATAACGACCACACATCGACACATGCAACAAATGGACGTAGAATCTATTATCAAACTCATCTAGGGTAACATTGTCGAAGTGATGCATAAATGTATCGTCACAGCTAATCTACCAGAAAGGTCGCAGGTTCTAGCCGACATGTCCATGCTAAGCGTTAAACAGATTCCTCATCAGTTGTGTGCTGTAATTTAATAGCAGTGATATTAAAGTAAATTGCGATCTTGTTCTTGAATTTGAATTTGTTGCGGTTTAGTCGGCTACCTACTCCCGGAGACGCGCACTGCTGCATCTCCGCCTACGGTGGTCAAAATTGCGATATTGTTCTAAATCATATGCATCGCTGTTTTCTTAAAAATGGACTCAATATATCTATAGGTATAGTATGCAGATGCGTGATCCTGCCTCCATTTAATATGCTTCCTATACTACGCGCTGGCTAAGTCACCGTAGTGCTATCCTCTCTCATTATAGTAAAGCACTTTGCTAAGTTTTATAGCGATCATGTAATGGCTGATGCGTCTGACCCAGGTAATACAATTGAATAGTTTGGCGGTTGATAACTATAAGTACGGCTTTGAACACTAGTTTTATATAAGAACAGAGGAAGTAGAATAAGTCACCTTAACGGGTAATGTTAACGTGCAACGCTAAAAATAAAGCGACGTTATCTTGGAGCAACGTTAATGCGCAACGCTAAACAAAACGCAACGTTATCTTGGAGCAACGTTAATGCGCAACGCTAATCATAATGCAACGTTATTGAGAAGCAACGTTAGTACTCGGCGATATTTCGTATAGTGTCGACCTCATTCGATTAAACCTAAGCGCTTGGGCGCAAATGCTTCGCAAACGTTTAGGACGACAATCGTATAGGTGTACGGAAATTAGAGATACTGGAAATTAGAGAACATAACTTCAAGCAACACGAAGCAGCAGACATTATGTCAGGGACCTGGACGATGATAGTGGTTGGGTAATAATATAATAACTCGAAAGGTTGAAGACATGCAACGAGTTTTGCAGTACTAATTAGGAAAGAAAATTGGGGTGTGTACCAAGAGCAACGTTATGTTTCGCAACGATAGTAATCGCGACGTTATTACGAGCAACGTTAACACTACTATGATTAATCTACTCTGTATGTCTAACCTACATCGGTCCTCAAAGCCGCTCCAGCGTCCGGTTGTCCACCTTGGCCTCCTCCTGCATCGATTTTCTGTCAAAGACCTCGTCTTCTTCATCGCTGCTGCTGTCCTGGCCATGGTGATCGTCGTCCTCCTCCTGGTCTGGTCGCTGGTGCTTCGTAGAGCCTCCTTTCTTGTCATTGCGAACCAGGCCGAACTACTCTGCTAGATGTGGACTTCCCTCTCAGCCCGCACGTCCTTGTCGTCCCGCGGCGCGCAGCTTGAAGCTGAATACTAACGTCAAAACAACATAGAAACATAAATATTAATGAAGCAGTGTTATTTATCATAGAGCAACATTAGCAGACAATAGAGCGCAGAGCAACGTTACCTTTAGTATTCGCGGGAGGGGGGGGGGGCAGACTCTCGCAGCTTGGCCATCTCCGATGCCAATGCGTTCAGCTTGCTCGTACGGAGCATCCTGCCGCTTTTGCCTTAACAGCCTTAATACAGTACCAAATAAACAAGAACAAATTACCAAAGTTAATGCACATATAACAAGCAACATTAATGCACACCTGTAAGAAGCAAGGTCAAACTTACGTAATTCGTGAAGTCGCTTGGCTTGCCCCACCCTTAAACAGCGGGCTATCGTAATGTTTCTAGGAGGTGGCTGCGCCGTCCGAGCTGGTTTTCTGAAATGGAGGGCTGAGATTCTCCCCCTTTTCCTAAAGTACAGTTTATTTTCGTTTAAGTTCGAAATTAATCGAGGTCAAACCTCACTTGAAATGAGTATTTTAATCCTGAGGGAAAATCCTGCCTGAATGAGGGATTTGGTTGTCACGTATTTTACGCGTCATTTATTTTTTGGGCGACGTTATTCTTGTTATTGCAACGTTATTGAGCTGAGGTTAGGGCTAGTTAACGTCGGAGGACGAAATACCTTTTTTGGATCAACCGTGGGACAGGCCAACTTTGGATCAACTTTGTCTCGCGATGGATCAACTTTTGGATCAACTTTTTTTGGATCAACTTTTGGGACAACTTTCTTTTATATTACTATTTGTGTGGGTATCGGCTTGATATTGGATAAGACTGTATCTGTAGTGCGTCTGGGACGGCGTTTCTGTCAGATCCCATGCGTATCAACCTTATCCTAAATATAGCAATACATACATAGTCTTATCACTAATGTTAGATTGTTTTTTTGCTGTTGGCTAATAGTCTGGTATCTCTAGAGCGTCCGAACTCCAGGTTTTCACAGATCCCATGTGTAAAAATCTTATCCATAAATTTAGCAGTACAAATGTACTCTTATCGCTAGTGTAAGGTTGGTATTGTGCATCCAGTTGGTGTCCTGGCACTTCCTGGAGGTCATTCGCACAATTCCCATCAACCAACGACGACCTGCCTTATCGACTACCGACTATGGAGTTTCTAAGCCCAAGGTCATCCTCCTCACAGGCATCTGGGGACACTGAGCCGTTCCCTTCGAGCGAGTCAAGCGACATGGGTGAGCTGTTCGAAGTCGGAGAACAAGATGGTGGTGCAGAAGAGGCAGGCAGTGAAGAGCAAGAGACGGAGTTAGAAGATGAAGAGACGAAGACAGAGGAAGCCGGTCGCGCCAGAACCGGGCCTATCGTCTACAACGGATTCTACTATGCGCGATATCACGACTCCGCAAGATCAACAAACTATCGGTGCAGCTCCCACAAGCGGACCAAGGGCAAGGCCAAGGTGTACCACCGCGCTGACGGGACCATAATTCAGAGAGGAGAGCACAAGCCCGGCTGCAATCGCGAAATTATGAGGGATATTCCAAGCGAACGACCTCCGTCAGCACCTGTTCTCACTGCCGACATTCTGGAGGCGATCGACGAACTTGCGCTTGAGCAGCCAACGCTCAGTCCACAGGAGGTGTGGGACCACATCCGCAAAGAGTTCTTCCAAAGCCCGGGCAGGATTACAAGCGGTTTAACCAAAAACCAGGTAACAGGCCGGTTCTACCGAACGAAGTTGAAAAGCTTCGGCAATGATGTGTTTGTCCAAATCAAGACGGACCCACTGTGCAGCGTGCGAGAAAACCCCAGTCTGAAGTTCTTCCAGTATCACGGCTCCTACTACGAGGGCGAGGCCCTGCACCACTTCATTTTGTGGGGGCACCCTGCTTTGTTGGACCGATTGAGGGCTCGGCAAACTTCGCTTTTCGTTGACGGGACATTCCGCTGTGTTCCCGCGAACTTTTACCAGCTGGTAGTCGTGATGGTGTACGACACAATCTCGAATCTGTACATTCCAAGCTGCTACGCGCTGGCTACGGGGAAAACCACCAAGGTGTACGACTACGTCTTGTACCACACCAACGCCTGTTTTGACTTTGCAATGGACCCTGCATTCATCACGTGCGACTTTGAACAAGCTCTGATGAACGCTGTCAAACATCAGTTTCCCCGGGCCAAACTCATCGGCTGTCTTTTTCACTTCATCATCATCATCGAAGACTGCCTGCCCTAATGCTAGAACGAAAAAAAACGTGCCTGCTGAGCTACCTTATTAGTGTGCTCTACTGTTAAATACTCGTGAAGGATGCGTTTTGGACTTAGTTCAAAATTACGGACGTAATTTGGGAGCACTATTTGATGTTTTGCAGCCAGAAATTCCAGCCGCCTGGAGTCCAAAGAATAGGTAACCTTTTAAGGTCGCCTGATAGTACTTCTATAAAACTGTAGGACAACGGCTACCGTGGATTTTCGCGCCGTATATCGTTTCCCCTCAAAAACAGACAGCGTCATGGCTGCATACTTGAATAGGGAAAATCTCAGAGTACTGGGTATGTTTGAAAATTTCGGTAAGTCTACATACATTTCAAGTACGATAGCATTCTTTTGCGTCAGGAAAAACACCTGGCGAAATAGTATTTTAGAGTAAAGGGAGACTACGAGTTGCTACGAAAGTATACTTTTTATTACAGTACATAGCTCCACATTTCATGGATTTGCTTCTTTCTCCTGTTCAACTGCACTCCGTGGCGTTGTTGCATTCAAGCTTCGCACTTCCAGGCCTCGCGGTATTTTCATGTGGGGTCTGGCAAATACTATGTCTACCCAACTCGCCATGAGTTATTCATGGCTGTAGCATCTGAAACATCGAAAGAGTCTCGATGAACTGCACCTACGCTTGAAAGTTTAGACGGTAGGATACAGAATAATTCTGGTTTCGACATGTGAAAAAAATCCGAGTGTCTGCCATTTCTGATTGAAAAAAGCCGAGTGGATTTGAGTTTGCAGCGCTGGAGGCGAGCTGGTCTATATGTGTATTAGGTGTTTGCCCCGATCAACACAAACACGTAGTCGGAAGGGTAGGATGCTGTGAACCGAGCACATCCATTGGGAGTTTACTCAAGCAAACAAAAGCCAAGGAAAAGCGTATTCTGCGGCTAACAACGGTGTTTTTGTTTTCTTTTTACTCTTTTTATCACGATCACAAGTTGGAGAGCTCTGTATATACACTTTAAGGCAGTTTTACTTGTCCGTCGGTTCTGAATGGGGCTTTGGGGGGAGTGTGCTCTAGCAAGAAATGAAAACGTCATCACACCCCACAAAGTCATGGCTCTTTCCTGATGCCGGAGGCGCCGGGGGCGCCGCAGTCGGGCTCTGGAAGAGCCACTCCCACAGGCCCAGCTGACGCTCTCCATCGCGCACGGTTTGCTTTTGCGGTGGCGGCACGACCTCAGTCTCGGTCCGGAGCTTGGATTCAGGAACTGCAGTCGTCGCTCCACGCTGGATCTCAGTACCCGAACTGACGCTGAACAAGGCGAGTGCGCCGAATGCAAGTGCCGAGGCGAAGCGCATGCTCAAAAGGTGGAAGAAGTCGGTGCTGAAAAGTATCGGGTGTGTGCGATGCCGAGGCAATTGGAAAATGAGGCAGCGGACTCAAGCGGTGCAAGTAGAAATGGCGATTGACGACTGCATACATAATCGTCGGACTGATCAAAGATCGTGTGTTGTGACTAATACACTGGATTCTGCAGAGTTTGCTGAAAGGGCTTTGCCTTACACCACTTATTTTTAGTGTATCTATGAAATTCTTGAAAACACATGACTCCAATCAACGTACACGACAGATTACGTCCAATCTACAGCGATTTTTTTGCAAACTGTTTTGCGGGCAAACACAAACATCTCAACGACTGCGAATCAAGCGAAAATATACTATGAATAAGGAATAAACAATGTTTTGTGATCTGTAAAAATGAGGTGAAATGTCTCAGTTTGCATGAAACTCATGACTCACATCTTAGGAACGATCATGGCACAATCAATGTTGACAGCAGAGGTGGGCAGTTTGGAATCGCAACTTGGGATAGGAAGGATGTATATGTACTTAAGCCGCTCTCTACATGTATTCAGGTATCTGCATGATGTGGGGGTAACCACTTCGAATTCCTGAAACTGCAACCAACGACAGAGCTGTAATTCAGATGTCTTCCCTTGAGCAAGAACGATTTTGTGGTCCCCAATACCTGGTAAATCGCCATGAAACAAGGGCATCGAGCACAGGCCTCAGCATGTAGATACTGCATTTGCCCACGTACACGTATACAATATTATAAGTTGTTGGTAGAGAGTCAGACTGTTCTTGTATCTCCGTCTTGGAGACATGCTTAAGATACAGAGTCTTGGTTAGCTGTGATGTAAATTCGTGCTTTTCTTTAGGCTTATCTAATTGATATAAAACTATAAATGTCCTTGCGGCTGCGTGCAGCGAGCTTGGAAGATGGATTTGAATGTAGAAGAACTTCGAAGTAGTATTGTAGCCCGAGTAGCGATTCTCTGAACTGGCGGTACAAGCAGGTTTGAAGGTTACCATACACGATGTACTTTCGATTACAAACTCGCACGCTTCTACAAACAACCTATATTTCGGTGGAGTACACCAAGTGACCCAAGACTAAGCTTTCCGTAGAGACCGCTGTCCCCAAGACTGTCTATCGAATAGTACGGTAGTCTCACTCCATCGTACTTCATGTAAGTTGCGCCCTGACTCAACTGCGACGATTGTGCTGTTCTTGTAAGTTACGTAAGCTCAAGGTTTCCCTCATTGGTGATTTCATAGTTCGCGTGTGCAAGTGGCAGAAGCCGGTGTTACTTTGTACGCGAATTAGCATCACTGTCCCAAAATCATCGGCTATAGCGATCGAAATCCGAAGTGGGTCCTCCGGGAGATTTTTTTGGATCAACCTGGGACAGGCCAACTTTTGGATCAACATTTTAAGCGAAGAATTAAGCTAATTCCTTGCATATTATATAAATCGTAGGTCAAGTTTCATCCAAAAGTTGATCCCTCTCGTAGTGTTGTTGCCTTCATAATTTTATGTTATATTTTCAAAAATAATATTTTTACTGAACACCATTCTGGGAAAATGCCGCGCCGCTCCAAGACCTGCCCCAAGTGCAAGAAGCGTTTCGCCACTCATGGCAACATGAAGCGCCACCAAAAGGTGTTTGCGTGTGGCAAGCAGTTTGTTAAGCAACGCGAGGAGCTAGCTAAACAAAAGAAAGCCTACCGAAACCGCTACGACTATCTCAAGCGCCTCGGCCGTCTGCACGAGTATCAAGGCCCCCTCCCACCATTCGACGGCCCTACGCCAACCCAGACGCCGCCTCCACGACGGTCGACACGTCGCTCGACCACAGCCGTCGAATCGTCGGGTACTGCCCCGTCCATTATCGGTCTCATCATTATCCATGTTCACTACTACATGGACGGGCGCGCAGTTGACGCTTTCTATGATAAGAAAAGTAGGTTTCTAACCTGGCCGAATTAGAAATTCGTTTCTAACCACAATAAAGACGTTTTCCCCTTACATTTTTGACCAAACAGATGCTGAACTGAGCCAGTGACGTGCTGAATTTTGCGAAAACATGTCTGAATTGTAGTGGGCCTACCTTGGCTCACTACTACGGCTTACACGTATGCGTACGTGTATGAGGAAGCGTAGGTTTCTTTTACTTGAGTTAAGTATACTCGAGATCCACGAGTATACTTTAAACAAGATAAAGACTCCAAGTAGCGGGTTTTGGTAAAAGATGAGAACTGCTATTTTTGTTTTATGTTTCTGACTTCCTCTAAATGTAATATTCTAAGATAGGAATCTGCCAACGGCTGGTTGGCAGGATTCTGCTAACATGCAAGTCACTCATTGGCTAAAAGATGCGGCTTTCAGCCAATAGGAATCCTAAATGTGTACGTCGTGGTGGTCGTAAATGTATGTAGCCATTGGTGTACCTTACACCAAGGTCGAGGAAGTGTTCAAACCTCTAACAGACATCGCATCTGTTAGAGTAACAAGTGACTGTAGCCACTTGTGCGTGTAACCCCGTTACATGAATCTTATCCATTCGTGTCTTAATCGCGAATTTGATGCTGACAAACAACTCTATACTCAATTACGGTCGTGGAAAAGTGTCATAGATCTCGAAGTAACCAAATGTATTGAAAATTTAAGCAAATTTCAATTTAAGCTATGCAGTGAGGGTTTGTTCTGTGCATGTACTTTGGGCAAGTGACAAGAGTTAGTACTCCGAGGACATCGACGCCTCAGAAACCGAGTCACCAACTTCGCTTGGACTGTCTTCGGCCGTCTCCACTGCGCTAGAAGTAAGTCTGGGCCGGACTCGACGAGGTGTGCGCACCCTACGGTTGGCCACATCCGACAACGCGTCGACGTACCGTTGAGCCTCTGCCTCCAACACAACGATAAATTTGCCGATGTCGGGTGGGGATCCCCCATAGCGCGGTTCAATGTTCGATTATAGCTTTCCAACGGATTATTAGTCCGATTCACGATGTCCTCTTGCACACCGTACACGTTCCAGTCTTCGGGCTTGTACTTTTTAATCCAGGTGTGGACGAAATATTTCCAGAACTTGGCCCAAGCTTCAGTTGAGTACGCGATGCCTTGGTCTTGGCATTCCTCCCGAATTGTGCACTGCACATTGAGAATTCCAGAGCGCACAATTTCAAATTGGCGGATTGTAGTTAGCTCATCCATCGCCCCTTCTTCCATTGAAATGTAGATTTCGCGTTCAGCGATTCCGAGCTTGAGCATCTTTCGTCGCAGAGCTTGCTTGAAGTATATTGGACAACTGGATAACTTCCGAGTCCTAACAACCCTGCTGCCGTGGTTTTACCCTTGGCCGAATCTCTCTACTTACGTCTTCTTTTGCTGTTCTTCGGGGTCTGCCAGCAGAACCTGCGCGTCCCCCCTTCTATTCCACGAGGCCTTCTTGCAGTTGCTGCGGCATTCTGAGGAATGTGATGTTAAGGTGCTCTGGTGCTGGTTCCATCGTCTGCCCTGACTCAACTGCCGCAGTTGCTAGACTACAGGAGCCCTGGTTTGCCGCTTTAAAAAGGTTTGCATCCATGACGCAACGCGGACCTTGTCAGCCATGTGTCTGCATTTTAAAAACCAAGCCCGTAGCCGAGCAGCGTGGGGAGGTGTACGAGTATTCAGCGTCCTTATCACGAGCTCGCTATCTCCGGCGACGTGAAATCCTTTGACTCCCAGTCTGTCAGCTACACACAGGAGATGAAAAAGTGCCACGAAACTTGCCAGGTTGAATGTACACTTTGGGGATGGGAAGGCTAGACTGGTAGCCCAAATTACGCTGTGCGGGCCGGCGCAGAGGATTCCACCGCCGCCTTCAATGCTGGGAGAACCTGTTGCGCACCCATTGACGAACCCCACGACCTCCGGCCGCCTCAGCAGCGTTGATGTTGGCAGTTGGAGTGCGTTCTTCAGTAGCTCTCCGTGGATGAATTTTGTGACTTGCCACTGCGCGTACGTGTCCTGTGTCAAAGGCGGCAGGCAGTCTTCGAGGAGCACGCAGACCTCGAACATCGAAATGCATTTACTAGAGTACAGTGGTGATCATCCAGGCGTGCCGGCCTGCACACACATTTTGTTTGCATGATACAAAAATCTACATGATACAATACAGTGTCAATAATACAGTGACAGTGGCCTTCGCAGCAAAACCACCTTTTGTACTGGAATTGTGTTTTGCCACGTGCTGCTCGGGCAAATATAGTGGGTAAATAAAAAGCCACCACCGACATGCATGCATGTGCTTGCTGATGACTCAAGGCGTTGTGTCATGCTAAGCATGAACTCGTGTGAAGGGCAAGCATCTAGGCTACAAAATACTCGTTTCAGTGAATGAATAGCTACCATTATTCGCATCCACAAGGAGCCTTGAGTTGCACTAAGCTCGCCTAGTTGTATTAACAGTTTTTTACACTTCGCGAAACTATGCTACAAGATGTCTACAAGGTACGCCTGGCTGTCTCGATGGATGCGTTTTGGAAAAGGTTCGAAATCACGGAAGTAATTTGGTCCCCTAGAAAAAAAGCCCGTGCTAAAATAAATAACGAAGTGACCGCCACATCTTGCATTGCCTCATTCCTTTAGTAAAATTGTGCAAGGAAGCCACTGCAAAATTAACTTGCACTGATCTGCACACTAGTGGCGGGATATTTTAAGACGTTTAACGAAAAACTTCGACATCTTTTCTGTATGGCCAACCACGGATCACAACAAATGAGTGAATTTCGCTAACGAGACTACCGGTACTTCGAAGTATGCGTTGAATATCTGACAAAATATTGTTTGAAAACGTACTTATGTATGTGCCTTGACCGATAGTAGAGAGGTTTTGGGATTGTCACCACCCTCGCATTACCCTCAAAGCCATTTTTCAGTCACATTTCATTAAATGTTTTGATTTGCATACGTTTACAGAGGTGTCGTATTAGGAAATTTGTATGGTATGCTCATTTTCGGCTGAACTTAATAAAAGGTACGAGGGAAATGTAGGGAATGAAATCCCTGGATTTGATGAAATCTGGGGACAATCACGGCGAGGTGGGCGCAAAAGGGCCACACCAGGTGCGAACTTAGGGTAATGAATTGCTCCGAAACCTCTCTAATTGTTTGCTCTTATTGTTTGTTGGTCGAGCTCGCCGCCGGTTTACCGTGAAAAAAAATTGACCAGTGTCAAGGAGGACCGTGTTCAGAACAGAGAAACTCGAGTTCCTTTCCCCGCCGCCGCCATCGTTGCGGGCAAAGCCCAAGCTGGTTGTCATCGAGGGTACACACCGGCCACCATGAACGCATTTATACACCTTTTCTTCTTCTAAAGCCGCCATACCTATATGCATTCACTAAGAAATTGATAGAGCATGGTCCTATCCTCAACACTATCCGGAAGCCACGTGTTTCCAGGGTTTGTGGTCTCCAATACCGTGTGAGTGAGATGCAGCAATGCCTGTGATCGCGAAATACCAATGTTACATTGGTCTTACATTGGCAATGTAAAAATGTACATCGGCTGCGTGACTAAACAGCGCAACTTGTTTGCACTTGTAAAATATCGGCACCGTTGCTGTCACAAGCATTTGTGACGTGCTTGTGGCACAGATGTTGGGTTATTTTATTACATGTTCCTGTGAGCCTTTATAACATGTGGTGATGTGTCACAAACACGCCACAACCGCAGATGCATGAGCGCAAGCGGCTCTTCTGCTCAAGTTGCTTTCACGCACATACGAGGTTAATGAGAGAGTCAGCCATCTAAAGTGCGCCAAGCTACTGAACATGTGTCTAAGCTAGCTAAGCTGTTTTGACCGTTCTGGTCCTGTTGGTCTCTTTCTCCGTTAGTCTGGACCGTACCGTGTACAACCTCCGCCGGAGAGGCGCTGACATCCCGCATCAGGCCTACATCATTGCCACTACAAGGTACCAGCATGGGCGTATACAGCATTCTGCGATACTATAATATGACAATGGGGCCGGTCTACCATAACCCGGTAAAGCGACCGAGTTACCATAACTTGGTAAGACGACCGAGTTACCATAACTCGGTAAGACGACCGAGTTACCATAACTCGGTAAGAGGGCCGCCTTTTCATCATCTCTCGGGTGAGGGCTGGAAGTTTATATAACACGAATAGTATCGTTTGCGGTCATGCTATAGGTTGGCGGGTATAGCAGACGTTGCTCCATCAGTGGTTAATTTTCTTAGATCTCGATTTGCAAGCTATTTCAGGCATGGTGCAGCAATAACCAACGCGCCGTGCTTTAACATAACTCCCGCGACGGACTATCGTGCAGGCGGCAACCATGGAAGGCCTCTCGGCCTCTGCGTGTGAGCCCATACGGCGCACTACATATTCAACATGGGAAGAATTCTTTGAGGAATTCAAGACTTATTGCACAAGCACATTCCACGCTTACAGGTAAGACTCCGCTGAGAAAGTATGCGCATTGCTCTCTAGCACTAATTTGCGTTGTAGAACGTAGCTCACAGACGCTGCAAAATCGTCAGGAGACAACGAACACCTCCATTGATGACGATACGTGCGGTGAATTTTACTCAATATCGTACATTCGCTACATTACTTTGTGTTTGGAGTGAGGCAGACACACTAGCTACGCTTTCAGTTCGATTTTCCTCCACGCTCGATTGTGCTTGTGGCTGCTTGTGGCTGCTTGTGACTGCTTGTGGTTGCTTGTGGATCTTATCGGCTACACCTGCAACAGTCTATTGGGGGAATGGTGTCCACGACGACATCTATAATTCGAGTCACAAACAGGTCACAAACACATATGTTTTATGAAATCTGTTTGTGGCTGCAACGTCCGCCGTTAAGTATTAATACTATCACTTACGTACAGGCGACATAAAGCTTTGCAACATCTTCTCGGGAAACAGAGTGTGTTCGCGGACTCTCTACTGTCTACGGTAGTCATACTTACAAAACTCACGCGGCATAACATGTGAACCTCACTTTCCAATTGCCTGGCAACTAGAGGTGTCAACGTTTAGGGGTCTAAACCTCGGAAACTTTGACAACCTTAAAACTCAGGTGAGTTTGCAAACAAACTCTAAACGGTGAGTTTGCAAACAAACTCTAAACGTTTCTAAACTCCGCAGCGCCATTGACTAGGTTAATGTATACCATACAAATGTACTGGTAATGGATCTTTCACAGCTTCTTTGAAAGCACTTGAAGCCTCGCCAAGCACACAATGGACGAGCTCCGCCAGGCGGACCTGGCACTGGGGTCTTCCTGCAGCTCCCCGCACCGCTCAGGTGGCTCGCTCCTCGGGACCGCTCTCAATGCCAGTCCCGGAAACAACAATGCTGATAGAGACGTCGAATCCGGCTGTCTCCTCACTGACCGTATGCCGCCGACGACAGAAGCGCAATCACCAGCACCACGGACGCCTGCAACATCACCACCAAGTACTCGAGCTCCTTCCTCACGCCAGCGTAAGCAGCGGAGAACGTACAGCCCCTCTCCTCACGAATCTCCACCAAGTCAACGCAAACAACGCCGGACCGGCAATTCCAGCACTAAGCGGAAGAAGAAGACGCCATCTTCCAGTCGTCCCAGTGTGAGCCGTCGTCTGACTGGTAGTCGCCAGAGAAAGCAAGCTCCCGTATCGGCACCAGCACCTCCTGCGCGAGAGGCTCGCGCTCCAGCACGTCCAGCAAACGTTTTGGAAGTCCCTCCTCCCCATCTCTTCGTCACTCAACGCCAACATCGGCCAGAACTTTGGCAGTTCGTCAGACTCGCAGCTGACCAAAACTTGTGGCATCTATCGCCCAACTTCAAGAATGAACATGCTGATTTTGCGTACTGCACGCGATGCAGTGTTTGGATTCCCTTTAAAACTTCAAACCATCAAGTCTTGCCCCACATGGAAAAGTTTCACCCAACGGAGCTTTACGGAGACACTCGGCCAGTCACCACACGAGGACGCAGTCTGGATGATGAATTTGATGAAGCTGCAAGCGAGTTACGTGAAATTACGGGTGAGGAGCAGGTCTGCGCTTGCTGCCAAAAGTTCTCCACCACCTAACGGCGAAAAGTAGGGGTTGCGTGCAGATGTTCGACACGCAGCTCGTGGCAGCGTAGCGCGCTTCGATGTCCACGCCCGCCGGGTCCAGGTGCTTGAGCAGCACGGCGAACAGCAGCTCAAACTCGCCGCTGGCGCGGTCCGCGTTGTCGTGCAGCACCTGGACCAGCGCGCGGATCGAGCTGGCTGTGTACCAGCTTGGACACGACTTGATGGAGTTTAGAAAGAACGTCACGACCACGCTCAGCTGCGCACTCGAGAATAGCACGCGCTCCCTACTGCAGCACTTCTGCACGAAGAGCGTGTACTCGGAGCACAGCAGCCCGGAGCTCAGCGGCAGGATCTGCGTCAGCGCCGTCACCAGCGCCGCAAACTTCTACAGAACACAAAAGTCAGCACCTTTCCCCATTGTATCGACCCTCTTCTCCTCCTCCATCTACTGCACGTACATCTCCCGGATCCGTGGGTTGGGCAGAGCGACGGTCAGCAGCTGCCGCAGAATCTGCTCCAGCTCCATGAGCGTGAGCTGCAGCACGGCCACGTCGGCCTCCAGCAGCTCGGTGATGCCTTGTCGCTGTGCGTTCAGGTTCCACCCGGCGGACGGCGACGTGCCGAGCGTGTTTGATTTTATGTGGACCATGTCGAAACTTTTCAGGTTTAGCATGCAGTTTAAAGTTTTTGCAAACGTTTGCAAGGTTTACAGGTTTCTGCAAAACGTTGACAGCCCTACTGGCAACCCACACTCCACAACCCGAAGACTCCTCTCAACATGCGCGCTGCTTTCTTCTCGCCCTCGGCGCACTCGCCCTACTCGTTGTCGTGTCCGCTGCGGAGATCCAGGCGACTCCAACTCCGGCAACGAAGCTGCGTGTTGAGACGAATGTTGCGTCACCCCCGCATTACCACGGTGCACACGAGGGAGAGCGCCGATTGGGCTTCTTCGACTTTGAATGGTTATTCGGGAGCTTGACTGTGCCCCCCCCCCCCAACGGACCTGCACCGGAACCTGACAACGGCTTTTTCACCAGCAAAGACGACTGTGACGGCCTTTTCATCAAGTGCGTCTGATCGCAACGCTCTCATGACTACTGTACGTAGCACGCTGCTCCTCGGTAACCTGTCCCGTGATGTAAGCAATCAATACCCCCCCATGAGCAACTCAATAGTTTGCCTCCTTCTCGTTACGACGTTCTAGGTTCGCAGCTCTAGAACTTGCGATGTGGGAAACAAGAGTAAAAAGAAAAAAGCACCGTTGTTAGCTGAAGAATTCTTCCCCTTGGCTTTTGTTTACTTGTGTAAAACCCCAATGGATGTGCCCGGTTCAACCACCGCCACATTCTACCCCTCTGACTACGTGTTTGTGTAGATTGAGGCAAACACCTGTTACACATGTAGACCATTTCGAGCTCGCCTCAAACGCGCAAGCTCAAATCCACGTGGCGTCATATATTTTTTTCAATTCGCCAAACCTCTTCGTACTTAAACTTCTAAGCATTCAGCAATGGCAGGCACTCCGACCTTTCACAAACATGTCGAAACCAGAATTATTCTGTAAAAAACGTGTTTGCTATTATCCTACCTTCTAACCTTTCAAGCATACGTGCAATTCATCGAGCCGCTTTCGCTATTCCAGATGCTACAGACATGAACAACTCATGGTGGACAGACAGATCCAGCCCGAAAATACTACGAATCCTGGAAGTGCGCGGCGTAAATGCAACAACTGACAAATTCCAGTTGAATAGGAGGTGGAAACAAATCCATGTAGGCTGGAGTTGTATACTGTAATAAAAGACAGATGCACTCTTTAGTAGCAGTCTCCTTTTAATTTTAAATTAAAAAACACCTGGCGTAAGCGAATGTCATCGTCTCCATTGTAGACTGTATACTATTGTGCTTTGCAGTTATTTTGCCGACCATTTTAGACGCTAAATATGGCAAAGCCTGCTCCTAAATATGTGTAAAAGAAGATACACGACCTGTTAAAATTATGCATAAATCCACCTCCTCATATATATATCGACTTGGGAGGGCCTGTCAGCAGCCATGCATTGGACGCCTACCAAAAGTGTTATAATCACCCGCCATATCTGCAGCAGATATGGCGGTTCTTATTTCCGAGTACGTCGGCTTATCCTAAATTTGCTCCGCCACAAAAGACATATAAGGGCACAACCATCTAGCGGCGACCAACAAAACGCAATGTACAACGGATGGCTGCACTCAGTCTTCGTGACCGGGACGATCTGTTTCGCAGCCGACGGCTGCATAATCTGGTGCAAGCATAATTGCCCGGGGTCGTGGAACGACTCCGACACGTCGCTCGAGTTCCGCATGAAGCTGACGGACCCGAAATTATGCCCGGATGAGCGCCTGAACGTCGTCTCCGACTCGGCCTTCCCGTGCTCCACGGCCATGACCGGCCGAATCCTCACGCCCCTCAAGGACGGCGCCTTGGACAGGATCTTGCTCTCGTTGCGCAGCTCGGCGCGCACGCTGCACAACGCGATCACCTCAGTGAGGCAGGCTGTAGAGTGGGGCATGGGCAGCATTCAAAAGGTCTACAGTCGTCTAAAGCTACCGCTACCCTACTATCAGCAGCTACGAGGCGTGAGGCTGAACAACATGTTCCGCATGACCAACGTCCGCGTCCGCACCATCGGAATCTCTGAGATTCGCACCACCTTCGCTAACGCCATGGTGATGCCGCAGTAGGACGAACACTTGTGTCTGTACAAGGTGTAGCTTTGACGTTGAGTAAATAACATGGATGTTCATCAAAGATCTTGTATTCCTTCTTTCTTCTCTCTGTTGACTTGGGCACTGCAAAGTGCCGAGACCAAATTTGCATGAAAGCAATCGATATCGAGGTGATAGTCATGTCTTGATTGAGATTAGCTGTTGTCGCTGTTGACGTTTTGCTAACAAGGGTTGCTTTGGACATGTAGACGCTACAAATGAACTACCCCTCTTGCTTTTGACTTCTCTGCACCCTCTGCATCTGCGCGTGGATCAGTCCTCTTCGTCAGCGCGCCGATCAGCAGCATCAGCTCCTGGGTGCGGGCACGGGCCTCCTCTTTATCGCGACGCGCACGCTCCTCGATCTCGACCTTCTCCTGGCGCCGCCGCTCCACCGCTTCCGCTTTGTCCGCGAGGTAACGCGCCTCACGAGCGGCAAGCTCGTCTCGGCGGCGCTGCTCTTCCTCCATGCGTCGGGCCTCGGCCTTGCGTTCGTTCTCCTCGCGCATCATCAGCATCATCTCGAAGATGTTGCCCCCCATCGTGCTGGCTGAGCTCTCGAGGTCGCTCAGCCGTTTCTTCAGCGCCGCTGTCGCTTTGGCAGCCCGGGAACGCTTTGCCTTCGCGTAGCCGGCTTCGATCAGCTCCTCGTCCTCCTCGTACGCACGCTTGAGGCCGACTGTGTCGCGGAAGTCGGCCAGGTTTCCCCCTCCTAGCCTGTTGGAGGAGTTAGCAAGTTTCGGGTAGCGCTGTGCTTTCTGCTGGTCGCGCGTGCGAGCGCCCTCTTGGTCCCGCGAACGAGGGCCCGACGGCTTGTCGGCGTCAGATGCACCACTCATCGCCGTTGTCGTCGATGCACGTCTCGGATCAGCCACCGTCGGCGCCTTCGCTGGCTTCTTAAGACCAGCCGAACGAAGGCGTGGGCTCGATCGCATGGCCACCGGTGCTGGACGTGGCGTACTCGCGAACGCCTCCATCCCTTCGTTAACAGCGGCCGATTCGAGCTAGTCCGAGAAGTCGCTGACGCGATCGGCGGGTTGCGTGGCCGACGCGCCACTGCGGTCTGTGCCGAAGCTGCGCGTCTCGTCGGAGTGCACCGAGTCATCGCTCGCGGCGCTACCGCTCGCGAACTCGGCGCTGGTGCAGTTGTCGCCGCCGGTGCCGCTCCCAGCGTCCCGACCACCGGCGCAGGAATCGCGATCGAAGCTCTCGTCGCCGTCGAAGTCGAAGCAGAAGTCCGACTGCTCGTCCTGATCGTCCTCTTCGCCCTCGTTGCCCTCGTCGCCCCCGTCATCCTCGTCGCCTCCGTCGTCCATGACGACCACGTTGGCTTTGTCGTCGACGGCCTTCTTCAGCAGCTTGGCCTCCTTGATGTGAGGCGGCATCTCTTGCACTTCCGTAGGCTTGCGGGTGCTGTAGTGCACCTTAAACTTTCGCCGAAGGCTTTCGTAGTCCCGCTCGGCGGCGCCACGGCCGCGATTGGCGTTGAAGTGACTCGCGAGGCGCTCCCACTCGTCCTTCCCAAGCGAGAGGTACTTGGCGACGAGAACCAGGAGGCGGCGAACCTCGTTCACCTTGTAGTTAGAGCTTCCAGTAAGTTTAGCCATCTACAGAACACATACGAGCGTGTGAGTGTAACGACGTAGTCAATGCATGCAAAGCAGCATTAGCAGCGTACCGGGAACGGCGGTGGAGGGCTTGGGGGTGGGGCAGGGCCGCCGATTATGGCATTTATATTTATGATGACAGAATCGGCAAATAAATAATGTCGCTTGCAAGAAAAACCCACTGCATAAATAGTGACATGAGTACCATCCATACATAAATAATGGCGTTGTGTAAGTGCGCAACTTCGTATTAACTTAGTTACGCTGACCATCTACAGTACCTACGTTCCAATAGCTCGCGTTCTGACGCAGGAACAAAATTTGTTCCAGCGTAATCGGGTGCGGCTCGTGCCCAAGCGTGATGCGGGCAACACTGAAGAACCGCTCGACGACATTGGACATCGGAGGGATACTGCGAAGCAGTTTATACTGCTGCTGGTGCTGATCGAGATGTCTGCGTTTCTGCAAACGCTCCACGAAGGAGACTTGAGTCAGCCTTAAGGTAAAAACGATGATACTTGGTAGGATTCCAGATAAAAAATATATAATAATTAGTAGGGTATAAATTGTAGTCATAAATTATGACATTGGGTAGATTCGCTGCATAAATTATGATATGTGCTAGGTATTCAGTCCACAATTAATTTATTGATGTTATGGTGGCCCATTATTTTTATGGCCATGCTATTTTCGGCGGCCCTGGGGTGGGGAGTAGTTGGGCTCGAAGCGGAGGACTTGGGCGGTGCTTGGAAAAAGCAGGAATGACATCGCAAGGAGCCGCTGCGCTGTCAGCGGCCGCCTCAGCAACACCACAGCTAATTGCCCCTCGACGCACCACCACCAATGAACCGCCAACACAGTGCGCGAGTTCGCGCTCAAACCGCGCGCGCGCGATGACCACGGCAGACTCACGTCCAGGCCACCGTTCGTTTCGACGCCAACCAAGGCTCTAGGCAATCGACGTTGAAGACAAAAGTTCCATTTTCTAGCAATAACAGTCAACTTCAACTTCAACATCAAACATGCTTGTCAGATTCAGATTCATGGATTTCTTGCAAATGCTCATCACAGTACGCTTACCTATGCAACACATCTCTCCTCATCGCTTGCTACGCCTTCTCTGCATTCCGTTCTCACCTACGGGTCGCGCTGGTCCTGGATCGCGCGGTGGCGGCACGATTCGCTGCCGCAGCGGCAGACAAACCACAAGTCGTCCCCGTAGTCAACCGTGATCTCTTGCCCTTGGAGCACGTCTTCCGTCGTAGCCACCACGACCGTCGTTCGCCGCCCATTTGCCACCTCGTGGAACGTAGCCACCGGCTCGCACGAGTGGTTAACAAAGCGCATCAGTCCCCCAAGGTGCTGGGCGTTGATTGCAACGCGGATGGGGTGGCTGGGCGCCTCTGGTCTCTGCCTCATGGCGAGGCGATAGCCCTCGTTGCGCGGACGGTTCTCGGGCGCGACGCTCACGTGCTCGAGCTCGCCCAAGTACTGGCCCAACACCTCGCCGCTCGCAATGTCGTCGGTGGCCACCACAGACAGCTGCCGCATTCGCGCGTTCCTCGCCAAGCTGATCTTCGTCGACTCCAACAGTCCGTTCCCGCACATGCCCTCGCACGGACAGCAGTTCCGATTGCAGTACAACTGCATCAACGAGTTGCGGCAGCTCCCAACTCGGCACGAAGACGAGCAGTCACACCAGCCGAAGTGGGGCACTGCAGGGAAGACCGTGCCGAGCGGGTTGAATTGCTCACGGAGGTGAGCCACGCGAAATGGCCACTGCGCCGGGACGAATCGGTCGCGTGGGCGGGGACACGAGGCTCCGCGCGAACAGCAGGGGCTGGACTCGTCCGCATCAGGCCGCTCGGGTTCACCGTCGGCGAAGCCGGCGGCTGCAGCTGTTCACGGCGGCGTGCGTACGGACCAGCAGCAGCTCGGCGCTCCTGGCGGGCGCTGTGACGCTCTCGAAGCGGGGGCCTTGGTCGTGTGCGTGGCGGGGGTGGCGACGGCGGCGTCTCCATCAGGACCGGAGATGACGTCGTGGGGCTGCACGGGTTTCGCATGGGGCGGCGTCGACGAGGTGGCGTACGTCGTCGTCTCGGGCGGGGCTGGGTTCGTGTCCGCCTTCGGCACGCGGAGGCCATGCTGCGGGGCCACCCACGGCGGAGTCGCGGTCCCCGTCGAGCTGTCGCTCTCCGCGGGCGTCGTCTTCTTCGCGCTGGGCCGGTGCTTGCTGCCGCTCGCCGCGGACGCCACCTTCACGGCGCTCGCCTCGGCGTGGTCGCTGCCTTGGTCCACCACGTTCGGCGGGGTGTTCTCCTCGTCGCTCGAGTCCTGGATGCAGCGGACGCGCCAGTAGGTAGTTGAGCGGGCCATAGTTACTAGCAGTAGAGAAAGCAGTTAGTATAATTGCACATATACACGCATGCGTGCACAGGCGCGTACCTTTCGTTGCAGGGGCAACGCGGCTTGTTGCTCAGCTGACGATTTTTGAAAGTGAGCAGCCGAAGGGGAGGGGCGCAACATGAGACATGCTAAGATATATGACAGCTTCAACAGCTAGAGTGATGGTCGGCATAGACTATACAAACTTCAAGATCAACGATTAAGATGGGTTCACTGCATAAGTCTAGGGGTAGGGCTGTTTATTGAGACAATTTTTACGCCTCACGACATTTATTTTGGGTTATGCCCCGCCATATCTGCTGCAGATATGGCGGGTGATTAGAACACTTTTGGTAGGCGTCCATTGGCCCAGTACACCACTGTCCATGATCCCCAGCACATCCACCCTCTTATGCATAATTGCCGTGTGTGTAGGTGCTTGTGGATAAAAACCGACAGAATGGCAGCTGCACAGCTACAATTGCCCTTTCAAAAGTGCAATTGTGGCGCTTTTAGCGTAATTCTAGGCCTCCACCCATTTATGCACCTCGATTTATCGTAAATCTAGCAGGTGCTCGCTATAAATACAGCAAATCTCGCCTCATATTGCCAAAATCATTGCAAAGCACAATAAGTAGATCCCTAATAAGTAAATCATACAAAGCCTGTTGATCACGAGGCCCCAGCGTATGAACACAACCACCCAACCTTATATAGAATGCCAGTGTTACTGCGAATGTGAGTCACATTCGCAGTAACACTGGTCTCTCAGAGACCGCACTGTCGCATCATGTAGCACTCTTTCGTGGATCACGAAGTCTTAAAGTTGGTGTTGGAACTCAATTTCTAATTTCCGGCCAGCTTAGTACAATTCTCTTCAAAGACTTTTTCTCACTATCGCGACGCCCCCGGCGCGCTGCTCTACGCAGTGTCGTCGTTTCCGCTGGAGAGACCCAACAGACTTCTCCATTTCCTGCATTGAAGCTGCGTATCGAGATGACCACCCCAAGACCATGCTATCGAGACCAAGCATCGAGATGACCACCCAAGACCACACCGACTGTTGGTTTATGGACTGGTATTCGGAAGTGCGGCTGCGGCACCGACATTGGCGTGGGTTTCAGGGGAGAGTAGTAATCAATACGACTACATCTCCTTCATCACTTGCGATTCAGCGGGCTATCAGAAGTACTATCTTCTTAACATGAGTAGCGCTCATCATATCCAAGCTATGTTGAACCTCCTTAGTGTTATTTTCTATAGTAGTCACTTAGAAGTGCCTTCTCTCATGAGTGTTGGGGTCATTTAACACGGTGGGCTACACCATCCTACCTACAGTCCCGAATAATGCACCCATCCACTAAGTAAGTTCTGTAAATACCCAGCAGCACGTCGGGCATCAGTTTATCACATAGTTGTGTCGCGCACGTTCTTCTGAAAATCAATCTACCTGCTGCACCTGGAGCCCATTGCGATGTTTGCCATCCAGTCATCCGTCGAAAAACCTACTTGAGTTGCAAGTAAGTTTCGTAGCTACCGAGTACTTTGAATATTTGTTCTCCCATTCAACACGCACACAGTCTACTAAGTACTGTAGATATCGCATTGTTTGTTTTGAGGAAGAGCGATTACGGTGCGAATCCACCGCAGTCATTACAATAGTCACGACCACGATTTTGTTTAAGGTCACCTGGCCTTTGAACAGTGCGCACCTCGATTTCGAATACGTAAAAAAACTAGAAATACTGGTTGGAAGAAAAGCAGTTTGGGCGCCAATTACCAATTTCCGTAACCAGGACAGCCACTGCAAAAACAGTTCGCAAAGATCCGCAAAGTATTTGCAGGATTTTGCGAGATATTTAACGAAGAAATTCTGACATCTTCATGTATATCCATCCAATGCTCAAGCAAGTTTCTGTAGTGTATTTCGCTAACGAGTCTGAATAATACTATCATACCGCCACTTATCTGAAAAAAAGTGCTTGGAAACGCATTTGCTTTCCCTTTGGTCAGAGTACTGTTTTGTTTGTCGAACTCGACGTCGGTTCACCGCCGAAATAGAGCATTGTCAAGGAGAAAACGGAGCGTTTATCGATGCTGTCTGTGTTAACGCAGCAAACTGAGAAGACAAACTCTTCTTCCCTACTTAAGTACTAGTATTCTCTAAATGTAAGGAATGGATAGAGCATGACTCGATCCTCAAAACTATCTCAAGCAGGTGTTTCGCGGATTTTGTGGTCACTAATACCATGAGGTCCTTACGCCTCACCGATGGCCTCGTGGGGCGACATGAAGCAAAGCCCGCTTATATCGCGAAGTACCAGCGTAAGAAGCACCTGTAAAATACTGTCGTGTACACGCGACATACACCTCTGCGAAACCTTCTCTGGAAACCAGTGTTTGTTCGCGGTCGTCAACGACTCTATTGTCTACTTACGGACGTCATCCTACGGTAAGCTCTACACACTTGACTTGCAAGCCTCACACTCCAATTACCCGGCACCCCGAAGACTCCTCTCAACATGCGCGCCGCTTCCGTACTCGCCCTTGGCACACTAGCCCTACTCAGTGTCGTGTCCGCTGCGGAGACCCAGACGACTCCCACTCCGGTAACGAAGCTGCGCGTCGAGACGAATGTCGCGTCACCCCCACAACATCATGGCGCACACGAAGGAGAGCGCCGATAGGGTTTCTTCGACTGGTTATTCGAGAGCCCGACTCTGCCGCCCAACGCACCAACACCGGCACCGGCACCTCAGTACGGCTTCGGCAAGAGTAACTCGGACTGCGACAACGGTTTCATCATGTGCGACTAATCGCAACGCGCTCATGGCTATTGCCAACCTGTCCTGTGACGTAAGAAAATAATAGAAACTCCCATTAGCAACTCAATAGTGTGTGATTTTCTACCATCGCGCTCTCCACCGTAGCCGCATTCAATTATGCTACCTCAACGCCTCGCGTTCTTCGATGCCAGCTAGTACCTGCGCGAGTAGTCACGCGAGTCTCTTCGGCTACGGCGGTCTCTGTCGCGACTGCGGTCTCGTTCACGGCCACGGTCGCGATCGCGGCTCCAGTCGCGTCCACCTCGTTCACGTCTGCGGTCCCTCGATCTTGATCTAGAGCGACGGCGTTCGCGGCGGTCTCCACTTGCGCCTCCACCGCGTCCTCTGCTCCGACTGCGCTCGCGCGGCGGCTCACGGTACGGCCTCGCCGCTCCTTCGTCCCGGGGCGCGCCGACCTGGAAGTGTCCGATGGCTTCTCTGCCCGAGTACTTGACATTGACGTCCGCTCCGCCCTTGCGGGTCTCGCTAATGCCGCCGCCGAACTTACGCGGGAGCCAGTCACGCACAGTGCGTCCTCTCTCGACGTCCACCACCACGCGGCGGCCGTCGATCTTCTTGCCGTCCGCGTACTTGTAGGCGGCCTTCATGTCCTCCTCCTTCTCGTACTCGACAAAGCCGTAGCCGCGCGACTTGCCCTCGGGGTCCTCCACCAGGCGCACGCTCTTGACGGGTCCATACTGCTCGAACTCGTGGCGCAGCTGCTGCTCCGTCGTCTCGTAGCTGATGCGCCCCACAAAGAGCGTCTTGTACGCGTCCTGGGTCTTGCGCGGGTCCTCGGCGTTCGGGTCCCACTTGGCGCGGTCCTCCTGCATCTGCGCGTCGTTGGCCGCCATCTTCTCCTGCCGCCGGCGCTCGCGCCGCTCCTTGGGCGTCTCCTGCACGGCGCGCGGGGGCGGCGTCTCGGTCTCGAAGGCGTCCAGGAAGCCGGCGAGCCCCGTGTAGGGCGGCATCTTGCGCTTCACGAGGCGCGGCAGGTGGTCGAGCGGCGCGTTAGGCTCGAACAGCACCTTGAGGTGCGTGGGCAGGTGCATGATGGCGGGCCCCATGCCGCTGGAGCTCATCTGCCCCTTGGGGGTCATCTTGCGGTGCGCGTTCGGGTTGCTCATGGCGGCTACAGGGCGACTCAGAGGATGTAAAAGAGATGGATAGATAGAGGAGACGCAGGCGGACACGGCGCGGGGTCTGCGGGGTCAGAGCGCCGTCTACAGCCAGAGATACGAGCGAGCGCAGGACGAGCGGGGAGGCGCCGATCCTCGCTCCTCAACCGACGGCGAATGGTGTGGGAGACTTTGTGTGCATTGTGAGACCTATGCCAATAGAGAGGGGAAAGTATGCGATTTGACAGGTTTGAAGCGCCACGTATCCGAGTTTCCAAGCCAAAAAAAAAAGGCATAAAGGAAGCAAGACTCGATGCGGCTCTCGACGCGGATGGGCGCGGCCTTGGCGGCGCTGCTGGCGGCCGCGCGGCCCTCGCTGACGGTGGCGAGGGGCGTGAACGTGAACCTAACGGCCAGCTGGCCCAGCTCCCCGTTCTTCCCGCTCATGGAGACCAGGTACGAGCCGCAATACATGAATATGGATGAAATGAATTCTTGCAGGGCTCGGAAGAGTGAATAATTCTTATTTTTACTTTTATTAATGTTTGTGCCAGTGAGTTCCTGGCCGAGGAGAACCCGCTGTACTTCTGGCAGTTCCTGGAGGAGCTGGAGACCCGCACGTCGTATGTGGGGCTCATGGGCAGCGACGTGGACGCCCTGGGCACGCTCGCGGTCACGGTGGCCGAGAGCATCGCCCCAGAGTCCAAGAACGTGAGTATAAAGATACTTGTTTACTTAAATATTTATTTAACAATAGTATTTACTAAAACTATGTGTTATTATGCTGCTAGATCCTGGAGCTGATGCTGGCGACGCGCACGTACTCGGTCAAGGTGGAGATGTTCCGGCAGTTGGCGCTGGACTCGGGCGTCCGTCCGTGTGGGGAGGAAGCCGACACTTGGGCGGTGTTCTACCGGGAGTCGCACTGTGTGGAGTTGGTGGCGTGCTCGGTGGATGAGCTGGAGGCTGTTCTCAAGGGCAAGAAGCAGCAGGCCAACGAGCAGAGCTGTGTGGCTGCAGGAGTGAACGACGTGGAGCTGCAGGTGGATCACAAGTACCCGAACTCGGTGTCGGATGTGGAGGAAAAGCCGCTGTCTGCTATTCTGTATGGTCTGGTGGGCACGGAGAAGTTCCACGCGTTCCACTCGAAGCTGGTGAAGCAGGCGCAGAAGAACAAGATCCAGTACATGGTGCGTCACTACCCGCGTGACTCGCCGTTGGATACGCTTCTGCAAGGTTACGGTGTGGCTTTGGACATCAAGAACATGGAGTACAAGACCATCGATGACTCGAAGAAGACGGGAGAGGAGGAGGCTGCGGCTGATGAAGAGAACGGCGACGAGGAAGACGAGGAAGAAGACGAGATTGACGATGAAGAGGTCGAAGGATTCCTGTTTAATCATCTGATGGCTCGCCACGGCGCGATTTCTGGTGAGCTGAAGCAGTTTTACGACATTCTGGTCAAGAAGGCGGATGGGGAGCAGGAGCAGGAACTGAAGGCGTGGCACCTGAAGGATCTGGGTGCGAGCGCCGTTCGTGCTATCGTAGACGCCAAGAATCCGCTCAAGCGGCTGGAGACGCTCTCGCAGGACTTCCCTGTTCAGGCTAAAAAGTTGGCGTTCTCGCGGAAATCGATTTCCGCTGAGCTCCGTGACGAAATGTCAGCCACACGCATGCAAGCAGCCAACAGGAGGCTCAAGAACAAGTTTATTCTGAATGGCATCGCGGTGGACCCACTCGAGCGCTCGTTCAACGTATTCGATTTCATGAAAACTCTGAAGGAGGAATGGTCTGTGGCGAAGCAGCTCGGTGGTCTGCCCATGAACCAGTCGGAGCTGGAGGAAATGCTAGCTCACGTTCGCCAAACGAACCAGGAGCAACCTGCCGTGCGTATTCACATGCGCGGATCGATGGGTGGTTCTACGCCTCTCTATCTGAATAACATTGAAACGGACCCGAACTCTGCGAGCTGGTCTTCCGATGTGGATACCCTGAGACGTCCCGCCTGGAACCTCATTTTCGTCCGCAAGAATATGTACGAGTGCGTGCTTGTACTCGATCCGCTCTCTGGTACCGGACGCGTAGCATTGTCGCACATTGGATTCCTGCGCATGCGTGGTGCTCCTGTGCAATGGGCACTTCTCGTATCCTCGAAGGAACTCATGGCGAGCAAAACGGCGGATGACCGTCGGGCATTGCTGGAAATGTACAAGTCTTTCAAGGAAGCAGATAAGGCGACCCCGTGGCACTTCGCGAAGTTGTTGATGCTGTCACAGTCCAAGGATGCTGCCGAGGCTGAAGCTCTTCAGAAAGAAAGCAAGGGCTCGCGGAGTGGCGACGAGGAAACTAGCGAAACAGAAGAGCCAGAGGACCGAATTATCCCAACCAGAATTGCGTCAGAATTCTTGCAACGTGTTGGAGAAGACGGAAGCTCTGATGTTGCTGTTGGAAGCTTGATCGAAGCGTACACGGATGCTGCAGGAGCTATTGGTACGCTTGAAGAAAACGGCGAGGAGGCGTGGGCGTGCCTGAAGAGTGACCGGTTCGACGACGAGATTCTTGCCATGACCGAGTTCATCCATTTGAAGCACGTACCGTTGGGCTCCTTTGTTTTCAATGGTGTGCTTCAAAAGAACCTGGACATTCAGCGGTCGATGATGAGTAACTTCGGACGTGACCAACCGCTTTACGTTAACATGGCCCACCGAGGCTTGCTGAACGACGATATGGACCTTGTGGAAGAGCTTCTGGACTCGCAGGATGCGTACCCTGCCTACTTGTCGATTTTTGAAAAGTCGGAAGGCGCACACCCTGGAGATATCGAAGTGGACTTGCCGAAACACCTCTTTGCTGACGATGTAGACGGTCGCCTGGAAGCTGCGGTGCAGCGTGCGATATCATATCTTCATGCGCCTGATTCCAGGGCTGTTCCTAAAAAGGAGACCGTGATTTTCCCAGCGGACCTCAACGACCCGCGCGATGCTGGTCACGCCTACCGGATTGTGAAGGCTGTACTGGAGGACTCTGAGCAGTCCTTGCGCGTGGGAATTGTGCCCCAGCTAAACAGTAACAGCGCAGAAAAGCAAGGCAGCAATGTGGGTGAGCTCGTAGCGGCCATTTTCGCCGCCGTGGGTGATTCTGACAAGGAACACCTCTTGAAGTTCGTATTGGAGGCATTGAATTGCGTTGTCAAGCAGAAATCGGTTGATGCGACAAAGGATAAGCTTATCGGGATTTGGGGCAAACTGAGCAAGGAAGAAGACAGCGAGGATTCGGTATCGAAGAAGATTTCGGCTCTTCTAAGTAGCAAGTCTGGAAAGTGGCTTACCCCCAAGCAACGCAATGCACTTACGCAATGCAACGCGCTGCTGCGTTCACGTTTCCCGCCTGTTCTAGCTGAGGAATCCGAGGAGGAGTCTTCCAAGATGGTTTTGCCGCACCTGTTTATCAATGGACGACGTGTGACGCTTCCTCCTCACTCGTTGTCCGACGAAGATGTGGATACCATCGTCAGCTTCGACCTGACGTATCGTACTCAGCCGGTGGCTAAAGCGCTCATCAAGCGTAGTGCCACGCTGAGTGTCAAAAAGGCGGACAGTTTGAGCTTTGACATTATGAAGACGACCGGCATTGTTGACAAGTATGTTCGAACCGACCGAGCGCCCCGTATGGAGGTGGGCGAAAACTCGCTGAACACTGTACGCCTCGAGGGTGATCCTTCACTCCAGGTTGCTGCTTATGTTGACCCGTTGTCGGAAGCGGCACAGGTGATGAGCTCTATGCTTCGGATGCTCCACTCGCAGCTCAATGCAACCATCGAGTTGGTGTTGACTCCTGCCGACGAATACACGGAATTCCCGCTGCAGCGATTCTACCGATACCTATTTGACAAGAAGCCGTCTCTTGCTGCTACGAATGTGGAATTCCGCAAATTGCCCGTTCATCCGATCTTGACTATGAAGATTGAGACCCCTGAGGCCTGGAACGTGCAGACACTTCACGCAGGTGATGACCTGGACAATTTGAGGGTGGACCCTGATAGCCCTACTGATGTGAAGTCAACGACCAGCGCTGTGTTCCGGTTGGAGAGTCTGCTGGTGTACGGCCAGTGTCGCGATACGACCTTCAACATGTATTCGCCTCCCAACGGCCTGCAGTTGGTACTTGAGCGCGAGGTTGGCGCCCAGTTGCTGCACCGTGATACTCTTGTGATGAAGAACCTGGGCTACTTCCAACTCCAGGCCACGCCTGGAGTTTGGTCTTTGCATCTTGCACGCGGTCGAGCTGCCGAGATTTTCGATATCATTGACCCGGACACGGACGTCCCACTGGAGACGCACCCCGTGGTTGTGTACGACTTCGGCTCGCACATTTCTCAGTTATTTGTTCGTAAGAAAGATGGAAAGGAACACGAAGAGCTGCTTCAGCCAGCTGAGGACGCGGCATCGTCGGACAAGACCAAGTCTGCAACGGAGGCGAAGGCTGATAAAGACGACGGGGCCCTCCGCAGTTACTGGAACTCGATGTTGAATGCGATGGGCAAGCGTGAAGACAAACCGGAAAAGAAGACGCAAGATGCGGAAACAGAAGGTGGCCACGCCGATTCTACTGGAGATGATAATGCGGTTGCCCATCAAAAGGTGCGCACGGGTGAAACCATTCACGTGTTCTCGGTGGCATCCGGCTACCTGTACGAGCGCTTTGTCAAGATCATGATGTCTAGCGTGCTGAAGCGTACCAACAACCCGGTGACCTTCTGGCTGCTGGAGAACTTCTTGTCGCCCGACTTCAAGAAGTCGATTCCGGCGTTGCGTGAGCAGTTCGGCATGGATATCCGTCTTGTCACGTACAAGTGGCCGAACTGGCTGCGCCAGCAGACGGAGAAGCAGCGCATTATCTGGGGTTACAAGATTCTGTTCCTGGATGTGCTGTTCCCGCTTGGCGTTCAGAAGATCATTTACGTGGATGCGGACCAAGTCGTGCGTGCCGACCTGAAGGAGCTCTGGGAGCTCGACATGGAAGGAAAGCCCTACGGCTACACGCCGTTCTGCGACTCGCGCAACGTTGGCTTCCAGTTCTGGCGCCAAGGATACTGGAAGGACCACCTGCGCGGAAAGCCGTACCACATCAGTGCCCTGTACGTGGTTGACCTGGCGCTCTTCCGTCAGACGGCTGCCGGTGACATGCTGCGCGCGGTGTACAGCCAGCTCAGCGCTGACCCCAACTCGCTGGCGAACCTAGACCAGGACTTGCCGAACTACGCGCAGCACCAGATCCCGATCTTCTCGTTACCGCAGGAGTGGCTCTGGTGCGAGTCGTGGTGCAGTGACGAGACCAAGGGAGCGGCCAAGACCATCGACTTGTGCAACAACCCGAAGCACAAGGAGCCCAAGCTGGACATGGCCAAGCGCGTCATCGCTGGCGAGTTGTTCAACGAGTCGTGGATTGAGCTCGACCAAGAGATCAAGGACGCCGAGGCTCAATACACTGTGGAGGCTGCGGCCTAAGCTGTGCTGTGTCAAGTGTGTCCCCGATCGTAGCAAGAAGAGACCCTCCGCTTCAATAGAAAGGGGAAATTCATATCCAGCCATCGTGGATTCGAGTTGGTTCGCTAATGGGAGTTTTAACTAAGTAACTTACCTCCTGCTATTCCTCCTGCCGTTGATTCAACAGAGCCTGACGCAGCAGAAGACGTGATCGCTCGTGCGGCGTCGTGTAGCGAGTGCAGCTCAGCACGCGGATGCACTCCTCGAGCGTCGTGAACTCGATCTGCACGGTGTCGAAGCGGCACTGGAACTGCTGCGTCTCGGCCGCTTGGCCGCGTCCCTGGTGGACGCTGCGGATGTCCAAGACGAGCATCTGCTCGATGGCCGTCTTCAAGTCGTCTATGTTCGTGTAAAAGGACGACAGCTTGGCGTCCACCAGCTCCGTCAGCGACGTCGTGGCTTCCGGCGTGAACTCCACCGGTCGGTGCACCACGTCCGTCTCGGCAGCCACCCAGTCAGGGACAGCATACCCCTGCACATAGTCCGCGGGCACGTAGGGCTTGACGTCCAGCACGGGCGTGCCGTTCACGAGGTCGTGGCCGCTGATCTCAATGCAGCGGTCGTGGATGGCTTCGATCTTGACAACTGACAGCCCAATAGAGTTGGGCCGGTGCGGCGTGCGCGTCGAGAAGAGCCCGACCTTCTTGCCGCCGAGCCTCGGGGGCGCGATCTTGGCCGGGAACGTGGTCTTGGGCGCGCCCTTGGCCAGGTTGGTGTTCTCGTGGAAGACGAAGAGCACCCAGAGGTGGCTGAACTGCTCCAGGCACTCGAGCGACGCCGGCGGGATGCTCGTCTTGAACGTGATGCGCGCCCGCGAGCTCTGCACGAGCCCTCCCTGCCGCGGAGTGCCGCGCCGGTCCGCGAAGCACGACTGCACGTGCGCCACGGCCTCCAGACTGTAGCCGAGCGCCTCCTGCTGCCTCTGCAGAGCCTCGCGGGCCTCTCGCTCGGCGTTGGTGCGGCCGGCGCGTTCCTGCGCCCGGAGCTGCTTCTGGCGCTCGATCTCCTGCTCCAGCTCGCGCACCAGCGGGTCGTCGCCCTGCACACGCCCCTGCCAGCTGCGCGCCAGCAAGTAGCGGCCTAGCAAGGCCCCCAGGGAGGCGCATACGGCGCCCGACGCCACCAGCGACGCCGCCGTCCATCGTGTCAAGGTCATCGCGTGTCAATGCCGCACTGGACGACCGGAACGGATGGGTGCCTGTTGAGTGGCATAACTATGCGCTAACGTGGGTTTGAAGTTGTCCGTTGCAGACTTGCCCTACCTATTGCCCAAGCTTCGATCATCGCAGTGCGGTCATCGCACTTCGGCTGGAGTTTATCGTACCCATACTCTGCTAAAAGCTGCGGCGGGCGACATCGATCGCCCCCCAAGGCATTTCGCGCCGCCGCCGATCGCGCTCACATGGCAGTTCCACGAGTGACATGATCGCGGTAAGTGGACGCCTCTACTGTAGCTTGAGAGTTCCGAAAGAGCTCGCGCGAACGCGCATTCCACTCCATTGCTACGTTACGCAAGCCGCAGCGTTCAGCATGGCGGGGCTGGTTGCTGCTGTGGAAGCGAAGGTGGGCCAGCTTACCGCGAAGGCGGTGTGTGTGTACATGTAAGTTACCAGATCGGTACGCATGCTAGAAGATCGATCAATCACATCGCCGATCATCCCAGTGGAGCTGGTCTCGTTCCCAAGAAGGCTGGTCGGCGACCTGGTTGGTCTGTGTGATATCGTCTGCACTCGCGCGCTCAGCTCGGATCCGAATGTCGGGCATTGAAGCCGTTGCAGGTGAGCGAGCCGGTGGCTCGGAGCTGTCGAGGGCTCGCGTTGCTCAGCTCAAGCCTTACCGTATCCCGAGCGCTGGTGGTGCTGCACAATTTTTGGCGGGTCTTTCGCTGCACGAATATTCGGTGCTACGTTGGGCGCTGCAGATTGCGCTGCTTATCTGCAGAGGCTTCCTTCGCGTCACCGCCATGTGTGCCTGTCGGCGAAATGCACTAGTGCTTTGTGTGTAGCAGCCCGTGGCTGCATATGCAGTCACCTGACCAAGCTGCTGGTGGCTCTGCAACGTACTTCGAGTGTGCATGTACTTCACACTCTTTTCTTCACTTCACTCGACTTCGCTTTCTCGAGTTCCGCCCTTCAAATCTCCTGATCCCCTCGCTTTCGCGTCGCGCGCGCCAGCCAAAGCCACAACCTCGTGCCCTGCTGTGTAGAGGACCCTCGAAGCTCGCATACAAAGACCAAGTGTAACAGAATGATAGCCCAACACGACCTTAAAATGCATATCCTACTAACCATTATACCTCTTTCCCATAACATTACGACACTTGTATATCACATGCCTGTATTAACACATTTCCCTCGAAATCAATGTATGCGTACCTTGCAGTGCTTCTGAAGAAACGGGCTCTGTACTCCATATCTCATCTTTGGCTGGGTTCGTCAATTTTTCAGCACTTTTCAAAGAAGCAGCGGACATGGCGGACGCTCGACGCCGCGTCTTGTTCCTGCTGCTGTCGCTGCTGCTGCCGCTGGCGGCGGCCGCCGGCGAGCGCTTCGTGCTGTCCCGCGTCGGCAACGCGTCCGCGCTAGCCTCGGGCGCGACGCTCGTGCCGCTGCAGCTGGCGGCCGGCGCGCTCACGGCGCTGCTGGCGTCGTCGCAGGACCTGACGCCCGTGGCGCTGGACTCGGTCGTGAGCGGCGCCGAGTGGACGCTCGGCAACTGGAGCAGGCCGCTGGCGGAGATGCGCGCACAGATCAGCGGCACCGACCGGTCGGTGCTGGTGGACATGCAGCTGAGCGACTCGCCCCTGGACGTGGACGTCTCGCAGCTGCTGGTGCAGGCGGACGCCACGCCGCTGGAGGACGACCTGGAGCTGACGCTGAGCTTCGGCAAGGACTCGCTCGCGGGGCTGGAGGACCTCGTGCAGGTCCACGTGGACGGCATGAGGGCCACGTTCGAGGACGCGTGGCTGCCTAAGGCCGCGGATCTGAATCAGCTGTAAGAAGATATATAACGTTACTTAATTAGGAGACAGAGGAGGGTGGGTGCTGATGGCTGTTGATGTCGTTGTGGACGGCAGGATCTTTGATGAGACGACGGTGGACAAGCTGTACTTGGACTCGACGGTCACGATCCAGCAGGTGGTGATCCGCAATAGCAACCTCTCGTTCCCGACAGCGGTGCTGGGGCTGGATACGGCTGTGACGACACTGTACGTGGAGATGGTAGAGTTGGCTGGAGAAGAAAAGGTTTTGGTGCTGACTTGTGCTTTGTTTTGTGGATGATAGGATTCTGGAGTACAATACGATCGCGGGGCCGATTGAGCTGACGGAGGACGAGTTCGCGCAGCTGTCGAACATTTCGGACTTTAGAACGACTGGGAACACTGTGGATGCGTCGGAAAGTAGTGGATTGTCGTGTCTGAAGGAGGAGACGGTCGGTGAGCTGACGTTTTGTATCGTGGACGACGTTCAAAGTACGGCCACGTCGTTCAGTGCTGGAAGCCCGGACAGTACCAGCAGCAGTGGACCAAGTGATGGGTCATTAGAGACGCAGTCGTCCAGCACCTCGAACACTAGCGGTGTGGTGTCGACCACGGCTATTGTCCTCGCGTGCGCGTGCACAGTGGTGCTGGTCGTGGTGGTCTCCTTCTTCCGTCGATTCAAGAAGAAGGCGAGCAAGTTTGTGGACGAACGACTGACGTTCTCGAACCATGAAGACGGACTGCTTACGGGTCGTGCGAGTGAAAATGGGAGTGAGACGGGATCAGAACGGGTGCTGACAGGTGAAGCCAAGATCCTCGCAGACATGGATCTCGGCAAGGACGTCGTGGTACTTCACAAGAAGCTGGGCGTTCAAGGCTTGTGGCTGGGCGAGTACAAGGACGCGAAGGTTGTTGCGCTCAAGTTCCTGCCGCGTGAACTGGAGATGACGTTGCCAGACCTGAATGCGATTCGTCTATCGTACCTTCCGCTTCGGCATGACAATATTGTGCATTTCTTGGGCTCTTCCTGGACAGATCGTGAGGAAGTGCTCATTGTTGTGGAACACATGTCTAACGGCAGCTTGAGATCGGTTCTCGCTGATGAAAAGGTTGATCTGGTGTGGCCTCAACGCCTACAAATTGCCAAGGATATCACCAGCGCGTTGAGCTTTATCCGATCTCTCCGGGGTGTCAAGTTATCGAGGAACCTGACCGCCAAGAGTGTGCTGCTAGACGCACAATTCACGTGCAAGCTGGACATCTTCGACTACGCTTCGAGCCTTCGCACCGACTTGGTGCCTGTGCGATCCTACGGACATGGAGACATCGCAACTCGGGCGCCGGAATTGCTCAAGGGTGAAGAGATCACGGCTGCTGCTGAAGTATACGCGCTTGGTGCCATCTTCTGTGAGATCTCGTCGCGCACCAAGCTGTTCGAGCATGTTTCGGAAGAGCGCGGCCCGACCATGGCTGACATTTTTATTGCCACGGAAGTGGTTGCGCAGCGGCTGAAGCCAACGCCAGCAGAGGACGCCCCTGCTGCATTCCGTGAGCTGGCATTACGCTGCCTGGACTACGATCCCTCCAAGCGACCGAACGTCGGCGAGATTCTCAGCGTGCTATCCAAGTAAAATATAAGAGCATGTTGAATTTCGCTCAAGAAGCATGAAGATGCTACTCTTTCTTCACCACAAGCTCAAACTCATCCGGAGGCTGAGTCCAAGGGATTTGATGCAGGCGCTCCGCTAACTGTTGGTAAGGCAGTGTGCGTTGCGCCGTTGTCATGGCGGCTCGACCGCTGGAACTGGGCAGGACCCAGACCTCGCTGTCTGCACGCAACTCATGTGGCCATCCAGGAGGAAGCCTCGTTTGCTTGCCGTAGCTCTCAATCTTCGACAGCGGAGGCGAGAACAGCCAGCTGAACTGCCGCTTGCCGGAAAACGCGAGGAGCATGGGGGCGTGGGCAAGCTCGCACTTGGCCTTCTTTGGAGGATTATTTCCACCAGCTTCGTGCTTTATGGTTGTCTCTGCTGCGTCGCTGTGGTCGTTGAGGCAGACTTGGGCGGCGTGGCGACGTAAGCGTCGGAAGAAGCTATCTCGCCACGCTTCCACTGTCGATAACAACCAGCAGGAGTTAGTCTTAAAGAGTGAAATACTCACTGGTACTTCTAGTAACAATACTCGTTGTCTTGCCGTACTTGGACGCATCGTTGCCTGGCTGCAGGCAAGCAACAAGAAATATTAGCTGTCGTTCAGAACAAGGTTGCCACCAAGTCGGAGACACCAACCTCCAACCCAATTGAGGTGAACCCAACGCCATGAACATGAGGCAAGACGTTTTGCTCCATGATGCTCGCGGTAGCAGGCACGACGCCCTCCCACGAGTGGGGAGAAAGCGTCCCCGTCAGCAGCATCCACATGCGATTCGTGGGGTTGCTGCTCTCAAAGTCACACCAATAACTCAGTCCATTATTGACCCGAAGTCCCTCAAGCCATCATTTTACCTGTACGAGTAGCCAGTCTTCCACGCGTGGTCGGATGGATTGTGCCCAACAATGAGCAGACGCAGACGACGCTCTGGGTAGTGCACACAATGCTGCACTTGCTCGAAGCAGTCGGCGCAGATGCCGTGCCAGCGCTCTTGCCACTTGCAGACCACTTGGGTCTCCCTCTCACTCTCCGGCTCCCGCTGCTGCCTATGCTTGCTCTTCTTGGCAGGAGCCTCACTCAGAGTCTCTTCAGTCTCCTCTGCGGTGTCTTCTGCACCAGGTGAGACCTCTGGAGCGTCCTCATCGCGCTCGCGCTTGGCGCCGAACCGGAATCGGTCGAAGATTCCAGCCATTCTTTAGGTAAATAAATGAGGCAACGAAATGTATAGATAAATGGAATTCGTCGTGCAAAGTGAACGAAACAAAAACTAGAAATATTTCTATGCTATTTCGATACAGTTTCTATCGGCAAGAGTCGCAGTTTAAGTAACGATGGAAGCTCTCGATGCTCGCGTTGAGCAAGTGCTGGGAAGTATCACCTCTGACAACACCAAGTACGTCTATCTACGAACTTTATCTCGCTTCATAGAGTGGCTCTACGAGAATACGGAGGCGGATCGACGGCAAGTCCTGTTTACTAGTACGTTTCGTGAGCTGGGTGCAATTAATGGGGAGAGTATCGCGCAGTGGTTCTCTATCGTCCCTTTACGAAGCCCTGTCAATCTAAGTGTATTAAGTACTATGGAGTGTATGCGCTACTTGACCTCGATGGAGCAGCGTGGTGTCACCGGAAAGTCGACTTTTGGAAATGTTCGCTCGGCGATAGTGTACCTTCACACTCAGACAGAGTCCTCGGTGAATGCTACTGCAACGATGCACACCGAGCTTTACACATGGGGTGGGGGCTTTCATCAAGTGCCAAGAGAGTTTGTGCTACCCGCAAGAACCGTTCGCGTTGTGTGGCAGCAATGGTGTGCTGGGCAACCGCCACTAAAGCAGCTATCAAAGCACGATATGGCTTCAAGACTACAAAAGATCCGGCTTGCAGAGCTTCAGCGGCTGATGCGCTTCGTTGAAGCACTTCTGACGAGTGATGAGGTCCTGCGAGCGCACAGCTCTCTCGATTCGGCTGGCCTTCTTTTTGAGCAAGTAAAGAATCGTTTACCGTTCTCATCGACGTCGAGTAAAGGAAGAGCGCATAGACTTGACCAACTATCGTGGAGAACACTCGCCCGTGAGCATGCAAGGCACAGCTCCAGCTAGACTAGCTACCATTACGTAGGTGAGTAGCGGTAAGCTTACACAATACACATTTACTTCGAAGTGGTAGTGTTTCTACTTTCACACTGTGTACCAAATGTGCGGCACAATATGCTTCGTGCAAACTGCACGATGAATTCCACTACATTTTACATTATTGACAGTTTCATTTGATTTTTGTATATCTGGCATTTTTGCATTCGTGGAATTCGCCGGTCAATTTGCACCCCGAATTCTATACGAAGTGGCAGATTCGCACGGCGATTTCCGTAGAAGTATAGATAAATGGAATTCGTCGTGCAAAGTGAACGAAACAAAAACTAGAAATATTTCTATGCTATTTCGATACAGTTTCTATCGGCAAGAGTCGCAGTTTAAGTAACGATGGAAGCTCTCGATGCTCGCGTTGAGCAAGTGCTGGGAAGTATCACCTCTGACAACACCAAGTACGTCTATCTACGAACTTTATCTCGCTTCATAGAGTGGCTCTACGAGAATACGGAGGCGGATCGACGGCAAGTCCTGTTTACTAGTACGTTTCGTGAGCTGGGTGCAATTAATGGGGAGAGTATCGCGCAGTGGTTCTCTATCGTCCCTTTACGAAGCCCTGTCAATCTAAGTGTATTAAGTACTATGGAGTGTATGCGCTACTTGACCTCGATGGAGCAGCGTGGTGTCACCGGAAAGTCGACTTTTGGAAATGTTCGCTCGGCGATAGTGTACCTTCACACTCAGACAGAGTCCTCGGTGAATGCTACTGCAACGATGCACACCGAGCTTTACACATGGGGTGGGGGCTTTCATCAAGTGCCAAGAGAGTTTGTGCTACCCGCAAGAACCGTTCGCGTTGTGTGGCAGCAATGGTGTGCTGGGCAACCGCCACTAAAGCAGCTATCAAAGCACGATATGGCTTCAAGACTACAAAAGATCCGGCTTGCAGAGCTTCAGCGGCTGATGCGCTTCGTTGAAGCACTTCTGACGAGTGATGAGGTCCTGCGAGCGCACAGCTCTCTCGATTCGGCTGGCCTT